AAAAACCCTCAAAGGTAAATAGAAAGCCAGTCTCAATTTTTGCTATAAACTTGAGATGCGCAGTTGCTTTATCTACTTGCCGTCATCTGTGCGTGGGTTCGGTGTATGAACTTGGCTCCGGCAGCACCCGGACTCTTCCGTTGCCGCTGTTTCGGCTGCGGGGAGAGAGCACAGGAAGTTGAGGATGTTTTCAGTGCAGTGGTCAAGGTGTCTCTGCTGGTGCTGTCCTGGCTTCCGGGGGTGTTCCTCCGTCAGTGAGGCAGGGTGCTGGGCTCATGGGGTGTGTGCACTGAGCTTGGGAGGGAGGCTGGGAGGATGGGAGGATGAAGTCACCCTACAGGCACCTCTGCAGAGCTGCCTTTGCCCCGGGGCCCTGCAGGGATCCCAGGCCTCCCCACTGCCTTCTGGGAAGTGGTGGACAGCGAACCTCTGGGCAAAGCGGGAGCTCATGGTGGCCAGGAGGCATTGGGTGACTTCTAGAACACAGGCTGGGAGGGAGGTTCCTGCTTGCAGAGGTTCTTGCCCCTCTCCACCATCAGCTAGAAAACAGGCCTGGGTCCGGGAGCCCTTGTTCTGCTTTTTTAAAAAAATGATTTATTTATTTGAAAGGCAGAGAGATAGCGAGACCTCCCATCTGCTTGCTCACTCCCCAGATGCCTGCACTGGCCGGAGCTGGCACCGGGCGTGCAGTTTAGGTCTCCCACACGGGTTGCAGGGACTCAACTGCTTGAGCCGTCACCGCTGCTGCTTCCAGGGTGCGCATTGGTAGGAACTGACTCCTGAACCCCCATGTGGACGCTTAGTGTCTCAGCCACCCAGCCAGACGCCTGCTCCTTCCCTCGTGCTGCTTTTGTGTTTTTTCTTTCTCCGAGGACTTCAAGGTGTACTCTGCTCCTTCCTGTGGTGATGTGGGTCATTGTTCAGTCAGCTGTCTCTGGATTGCCTGGCTTCAGGGGCAGGTGTTTTGGCTTTTGAGTTACCTGCTAAGTGAAGTCATGCTGAGGTTTTGGGGGTTGTTGTCCCCTGCCATGGCATGGAAATGACAGACTCCTGTGGTGCGCGGTGCCCTCACTGCCATCCTGCGGGGGACTGGAGAGGAGCCGGCTGTTGACACGGGAGTTGGGGTTGCTGAGTGCCGGTGCTGAGATCACAGGTTCACCGCTGACCCCTGCCTTGTGCTAGCACTGGACAGAGGTTGTGCTGCGATGGGCTGAGCGGAGGCTCGCGACGCCTGCATCCCATATCAGAGTGTCGGTCAGAGTGCTGGATGCTGGGCTTCCATCCAGCTTCCTGCTAATGTTCCTGGGAAGGCGGTGGAGGCCCGAGTGCTTGACCTCTGCCACCCACGTGGGAGATCCGGATGGAGTTCCTGGCTTCCGGTTTCGACTGGCCAAGCCCTCACTGTTGTGGTCATTTAACCAGTGGATGGACAATCCATCTCTCTCACTCAGCCTTTCAAATACACCTTAAAAAAATAGTCATGGAAATGTGTTATGAAAAAAACCTGTGCATGGATTCAAACTTTTCTGCACCAAAACAAACTCTTCATTTGAGGTCTTTTTCGTAAAAGATTTATTTTTTTACTTGAAAGGCAAAGTGAGAGAGAGAGAGACAGAGAGAGAGAGAGGTCTTCTATCTGCTGGTTCTCTCCCCAGATGGCTGCGACGGTTGGAGGTGAGCAGATCCAAAGCTGGGAGCCGGGAGCTTCGTCTGGGTCTCCCTGCCACTGCGCCGGCCCTGAGAACGACTTTGTGTCTTCAGCCTAGAACACTGCCATGAGAGCCTCAGAGGCCAGGCTGCTCCCCAGGGACTCAGTGGTCCCTTCAGTGTCCTCTGTGGTTCCAAGGAGAATTCTTGACCGCCAGAGCTGTGCAGTGGTCGGGGCACACACCCTGGAGCGTGAGTTCAGACCCAGTTCCACTGCTTGTTACTCGTGTGAACTTGGATAAAATTACTTACCTTCTTTGTGCCTCAGTTTTCTTATCTTCAAAATGGGGACACCAGTGGTATCCTTGTCAGAAGGTGATTATAAGTCCTAAGATGTTTAGAATGCACAGGAAGTCTTTAGGACAGTGACTGGACACAGCAGATGCTGTTTGTGAGTTAGTTATTACTCATCACACCACGGTGCCGGTGCTGCGATCTCTCTGACTGTCCTTGAATCCTGGGCTAACTCGCTCTGGGGTCTTCGGCTGCGTGCGTCACGTCACCTTTCTGTCATCGGAGCTGGGAGTCCTGGTCCTTGCAGACTTTCTGTCCTGTTCTTGGAGAACACATTTGCTGGGTGAAGGAGCCTTGCGAACAGAGACCCTGAGCTGTGGTTCTCAGCACCGTTGGCTGCCGGCGCCCGGGGCCATGTTCCCTGTGCACGTGGGGATTCTCACGTAACCGCTGGTCTTTCCTGTGCCCCTTGGCTGCCTCGTCCACACTTGATGGACAGGCTGCGGGTCCTGGAATGCTCGTCAGTGAGTCTGCTTGGGGAGACCATGGGAAACCGAGGCTGCCTCTCGTGGCTTGGCTTTCCATCTGCGACGTGGCCTGGCTGCTTTCCAGGGACCCTTCCTGGTCTGTGTTTTTGTTTCAGGCTCCCCCTCGATCTCCTCGGCTTTCACAGACCTTGCCATGACATTGCTCGAATTATTTCCTCCTCTTGGGGAAGAATCTGTTTCTGTTGCTTTTTCCCTCTACGGAAGAAATTGTAACTTGTTTTCCGTATGCATCGCTTTAAAAAGAAAGCCCTTTCTCTGGCCATCTTATGCACTGGTGGTCGGTCTGTCCCAGTTTTTGTTGTTGTTGTTGTGTTGTGTTTTGGGAGCACCCCTTGGCACTCACAGAATGGCTTGCAGAGGTGCTTTGAAGAGCTGGCATGATCGTCCCTTGTTGGAACTTGTCCCAGCTCGGATTCTGTTTCTAACGAAGTTGGCCGCATTGTTTTTCAAAGGTTTCCACATTTCCACGGATGGAAGCCGCAGCCCTGTTTCTTGTGCTCGGGACCCTGCGTGCCCCCAGGACGCCCCTCGCTCAGCATCTGGCCGGGCAGAGATGGCTTCACTGCCTCCTATTTGCCCTTCGTGCCAGGTGGCAGCGCAGCCTCTGGGGCCGTGATGCACCTGACAGTCTGCCTAGTGCTGGGAGCAGTCCCCGTTCTCTTCCGAGGAATAGGCAGGCCGGATATCAGCAGCCCGACCACTGCTGGAGACCAGGAAACCAAGGCCACAGAGAGGCGAGGTGGCCGAAATCCAATGCAAATTCCTACTGGGGAGGAGACAAACAGCCAAGTGCAGCCGAGGCGTGCGCTGCCGGCCTTCGGCTCTCGTCTGCCGGGTGCTCGTTTCCTCCCTTCTCAGGACGTTTCTTTCTTTCTTTTTTTTTTTTTAAAGTACTCGTGTATATATATATATATATATATATTTTTTTTTTTTTTTAAAGATTTATTTATTTGGCCGGCACCGCGGCTCACTAGGCTAATCCTCCGACTGCGGCACTGGCACTCCGGGTTCTAGTCCTGGTTGGGGCGCCGGTTCTTTCCTGGTTGCTCCTCTTCCAGTCCAGCTCTCTGCTGTGGCCCGGGAGTGCAGTGGAAGATGGCCCAAGTGCTTGGGCCCTGCACCTGCATGGGAGACCAGGAGGAAGCACCTGGCTCCTGGCTTCAGATCGGCGTAGCGTGCAGGCCATGGCGGCCATTTGGGGGGTGAACCAATGGAAGGAAGACCTTTGTCTCTCTCTCTCACTAACTCTGCCTGTCAAAAAAATTGTTAAAAAAGATTTATTTATTTATTTGAGAGTCAGAGTTACACAGAGAGAGAAGGAGAGGCAGACAGACAGAGAGAGAGGTCTTCCATCCGCTGGTTCATTCCACAGTTGGCTGCAACGGCTGGAGCTGTGGCAATCTGAAGCCAGGAGCCAGGAGCTTCCTCTGGGTCTCCCATGCGGGTGCAGGGGCCCAAGGACTTGGGCCATCTTCTGCTGCTTTCCCAGGCCAGAGCAGAGAGCTGGATTGGAAGAGGAGCAGCTGGGTCTCGAACCAGTGCCCACATGGGATGCTGGCACTGCAGGCCAGGGCATTAACCCGCTGCGCCACAGCGCTGGCCCCCTTACGTTTCTAATACACAACCACAGCTCACAGGAGAAGACCAGAGTCGTGAAGAGAGAGGCCAGGTATCCTTTCAGGAATTCCCAACCATGGGTGTTGGACACAGCGGCTGGCGTCCTTAGCAACAGGATCGAGCTGGGCACGAAGCAGGGCTCAGGGTCTGTCGACCGATGTCCCCAATATTGTCCTGTTCCTATCGTTACTCTGTGCCAGGCTTCTGCTTGTCCCTGTGTCTTAGAATTCATAGCAGTACTTATAGATCGACTTTATTTTTAAAAATAACTACGGGTTCTCTTTGTCTTTCTCTCTCTCACTGTCCACTCTGCCTGTCAAAAAAACAAAAACAAAACAAAACAAAAAAACTACAGGGCCGGTGCTGTGGCGTAGCAGGTAAAGCTGCCGTCTGCAGTGCCGGCATCCCATATGGGGGCCAGTTCAAGTCCCAGCTGCTCCACTTCCGATCCAGCTCTCTGCTATGGCCTGGGAAAGCGGTAGAAGATGGTGCAAGTCCTTGGGCCCTTTCGTCCACATGGGAGACCCAGAAGCAGCTCCTGGCTCCTGGCTTCAGATTGGCCCAGCTCCGGTGTTGCAGCCAGTTGGGGAATGAACCAGCAGATGGAAGATCTTTCTTTCTCTCTCTGTCTCTCTCTGCCTCTCCTTCTCTATGTAACTCTGACTTTCAAATAAATAAATAAATCTTTAAATAAAAATAGCTGCGTGGGTGCCAGCAGTGGTAAAGCTGTCGCCTGCGATGCCGGCATTCCATATGAGCACCAGTTAGAGTCCTGGCTGCTGCACTTCCAATCCAGCACCCCGTGAACGCACCTGGAACGGCAGTAGAAGATGGCCCCAGCGCTTGGGTTCCTACCACCCACGTGGGAGACCGGGATAGAGTTCCTGGCTCCTGGCTTCGGCCTGGTCTAGCCTAGCTGTTGTGGCCATTTGAAAAGTGAACCATTGGACAGAAATTCTCTCTCTCTGTAACTCTGCCTTTCAAATAAATACGCGAATTAAAAGAATGAAATAAAAAGCTACACGGCATTCCGTGAAATGGCTAGCCATAACTGTTCAGCCAGTTCAGGCTACTTCCAGTCTTCTCCCGCTGCAGATGTTGCCGCAAGCCCACCTGAGAACGTGCTGCCGATGGCCTTCAGCGTACATTTTTCACAGAGTGGAAGAGAGCCGGTCAGGAACCTTGCCGGGCTCCCTGAAGGAGGTGTGGCCGTGTCAGCGGGTTGGATCCCGGCCCGTGGGTTGTGAGCAGACGTGACGTGTCCGGCTTCTGGTAGCTCCTTGGGAGGGAAGCGGCACTCCCCCTTGGCCCCCCCACCCCCCGGGGTGGGGAGTGATCTGATGGCAGGAGCTGGTACCTCCTTGGTTCCAGAGCGAGGGCTGACTCCTAAGGATGGCAGAGCATAGGAAAAAATGAGTCTGGTCCCCCGCACTGCTGAGCCGGGTCAGACCAGCACCGCATTTGAACCTGTCCAGGAGAGAGCGGAGCATTTGTCTGTGTGGAAGCCGCTTCTACTCACTGGGTCTTTGTTAAAGTGTCTCTGTTTTTCCCACTGTTGTGCACAGGAGGGATCTTCAAACAGTTCATGGAAAATATGTCTTCTGAAGAAAATTTGCATGGATTTAAAATATTTTTGCACCAAAAGTGACTTTCTAAATTTTCTTTTAAAGATTTATGTATTTATTTGAAAGTCAGAGTTACACAGAGAGAGAAGGAGAGGTATAGAGAGCGAGACAGAGGTCTTCCATCCCCTGGTTCATTCCCCAATTGCCCACAACAGCCAGAGCTGCGCCGATCTGAAGCCAGGAGCCAGGAGCCTCTTCTGGGTCTCCCATGCAGGTGCAGGGGCTCAAGGACTTGAGCCATCTTTTATTGCTTTCCCAGGCCACAGCAGAGAGCTGGGTGGGAAGTGGAGCTCCGGGACTCAAACTGGTGCCCATATGAGATGCCAGCATTGCAGGCAGCAGCTTTACCTGCTAAACCACAATGCTGGCCCCATACTTTTTAATTCTTTAAAAAAGGATTTATTTATTTATTTGGAAGGCAGAGAGAGAGAGAGCAAGAGAGAAAGGAAGAAAGAAAGAAAGAGATCTTCCACTCATTGGTTTGCTTCCCAAATGGCTGCAATGGTCAGGGCTAGGCTGGGCCAAAACCAGCAGCCAGGAACTCCATCCAGGTCTCTCACATGGGTAGCAGGGGTCCATGTACTTGGACCATCATCTGCTGCCTCCCAGGTACATCAGCAGGGAGCTGGTTCTGAAGCTGGGGCTCAGCCAGGCTCTCTGGATATGGGGTGTGGGTGTTGCAGGCAGCGGCAGCTTAGCTTGCTGTGCCACAGTGCCCTCCCCGACGTATCTTTTAATTCCATTTTTTCTGTGAAGATTTTGAAGTACCCTTGAATATGTATGACAGATTGCGCAAAGTAGACTTGCAGGGCTGGGCTGGCGGATATTACTGGGTGCTGCTGCTTAATTAATCCTTATGCATTCTTCTTTTCATCATCACCACCTCCATCTCTTTCCCCATCTTGACTGTGTCTTCTTATTACACATTCACATTTAGCATTTCATCCAGAATCTGTTGAAGATGCACAAAGATTCCTATTTTCACTGGAAAACACTAGCATGTGGAGCTGGAGTTTGGTCCCATGTGTCAATATCAGTGACATTTTGTTTCCATGGAAACTAATTCCTGGCGTGTGTGTCTACACAGGGAAGGGAGAGTGGGGAAGTGGAGGGTACCGGGTGTGTCTCCTTGAACAGCACAGGGGAGCTGCTGGGCCAGCTCTGACCGCCCCGGCGTGCACTGGTGCAGATGGCCAGCAGACAGTGTGCCTACTGTGCGCTAACTGCTGGGATGCACCACTGGGCAGGTCAGACACGGTCTTTGCCCCATGAGCAAGGGGTTGGCCGGCTCATGTAAAATGAGACATCCAGGTTGCTGTGAGTAGGGGGTGGCATGTCTGGCCTCTGCTTCCATCCTCACCTCTCCTCCTCAGTATGCTGGGCCTGGCCAGAGAATCCAGGAAAATCCCCACCTCAAGACCCTTGATTTAGTTCTAGCTGCAAAGTCCCCTTTGCCTGTAAGGTAGCATAGTCCCAGGTTCCATGACTGGTGATGTGCCACGGGGACTGGCTTCATCTACGGCTGGCCAGTCAGGAATTTCCTGAGGAGCTGAGTTTTTTTTTTTTTTTTTTAAGATTTATTTATTTATTTGAGAGGAAGAGTTACAGAGAGACAGAAGCAGAGAGAGAGAAGAGAGAAGAGAGAAGAGAGAAGAGAGAGAGAGAGAGAGAGATCTTCTATCCACTCCCTAAATGGCCACAATGGCCAGAGCTGGGCCAGGAGCTTCCTCCAGGTCTCCCATGCGGGTGCAGGGGCCCAAGGACTTGGGCCATCTTCTGCTGATTTCCCAGGCCATAGCAGAGAGCTGGATCGGAATTGGAGCATCCAGGTCTTGAACCAGCGTCCACAAGGGATGCTAGCACTGCAGGTGACGGCTTTACCTGCCACACCACTGCGCTGGGCCCAGGAACTGATCTTTAAGCAGGCTTGCAGGTGAGCAGACAGAGGTGCGGGAGGAACTCAGAGGCTGGTGGGAAGGAGCTGGAGTGTTGAGGGGTGGAACAGAGAATGGCTGCTGGGTCAGCAGCGTGTGCAGGGCACTGAGTGGCCAGCCACGGCAGGGGACAGAGCGGAAGTTCTAAAGCAGATTGACATCTTTTGCTGCAGGTTAACAGTAGGGTTAAGGTGTGTGTGGGGCTGTTAGGAGGGGGTGATAGAGCGCCCAGCAGCCCGACCCAGCAGTGGCAGGGGAGTATGAGAGATTGTAGGAGGGTGAATGGGAGGACTCTGATGGGTGGATGAGGATGTGTTGGGCACAGGAGCTGAGGGGAGAGCTGTTCCATTTACTAGGTGGGACCCAGCTGGGAAGTGCATAGATGGCTTTTGAGGGCCTCTCAGGTAAGCAGGTGGCAAGGCCAGAGTCCCTGCAGGCTGGGCTGCAGTGGAGGAGGCTCCGGGTTGTGGGCAGAGCTGCCCCTTGAAGCCGTGTGTTTGGGTGTTGCCTGGACCCGGGAGGGGGAGGAGGAGCTGGCAGTCTGAAACGACCCCGGGGTTTGTGGCCTTATGAGCTCATCAGGGCCCCAGTGGAGGGGTTCTTTGGAGAAGTTTGGGAGCGAGGTAATAGAGAGATGTGTTAGAAGGTTGTGTTATGGGAGCCTCAAAGGAGTCTCATTTCCTATTGCTGCTCTCGCCAGTTTCCATCAGCTTGGCAGTTAAACAGCACTCGTGTCTGACAGAGGCCTACTAGTCCAGCGCCGCCCGTGTTTCCCTGCCTCCCAGTTTCCAGGGGCTGCCCCCATCCTTGCTGGGCCCCTCTCTCCGTCTCCAGAGTGGTGGAGGCCAGTTGTGTTTCCCGCACTGTGTCCCTGTGGTCTGTCCTGTTTCTGTCAGTCCCGGCACTGGGCCCACCAGAGGACCCAGGATCCTCTCCCTGTCTTATTGGTAGCCGACCTGCAGATGGATTCCGGCTGCATCCTCTTCTGGGCTTAGGGCCAGGATATCCGACTGTGACTCCGCCTGTGCCGGAGTGTGAAAGTGACAAGGGAGCGCAGTGAGCCCCGCCCGTCCCTCAGCTTCGGGACTTTATCCTCTCCCCCTCCTCTCCCCTCTCCACTGCGTTATTTGAAGCAAGTCCTAGACATCATCAGGAACACTTGTTCACCCAAGTTCAGCTCGGTCAGGGAAGTGAGAAGGCGGGGGCCTGGGGGAGGAGGCGGGGAGTACGTATGTGTGCATGTTGTTTCCGGCAAAGCCTGTGTACATTTGGTGGGGGGGGGCTCTGGGCATTTGTTGTGGGAGTTAAGATGCCACTTGGGGCCCCTGCATCCCTTAATGGTGGTTCAAGCCTTGACTCTGCTCCTGGGTCCAGCTTCCTCCTGATGCCCCTGGGAGACAGCTCCTGTTCCTACCTCCCACTTGGGAGACAGGATGGAGTTCTGTGCCTGGAGCCCCAGGCTGTTGCAGGCATTTGGGGAGTGGATCGATAGATAGGTCGTCTGTCTGTCTCTCTCTGCCTGTCAAAATAAATAAGTACATTAATTAATTTTAAAAGTTGTGGTGGGGAGGCTGTGATGGAGGAGGAGATAGCCTTGGCCACGAGCGGCTCACAAGTGTATGAGTAGGGACCCAAGGGAACTCCTGGCTGCTGGGTGAAGTTTTTTCCTGTTGAGCAGTTGGGGGCAGTGAGTGGCATGAGGAGGCTACAGTTTCAAGGTGCTTGGAGGGAGGAGGGCGGTGCTGTGGTGCAGCGGGTTAAAGCCCTGGCTTGAAGCGCTGGCCTCCCTTATAGGCACCGGTTCTAGTCCTGGCTGTTCCACTTCCAATCCAGCTCCCTGCTGTGGCCTGGGAAAGCAGTAGAGGATGGCCCAAGTGCTTGCGCCCCTGCATCCACGTGGGAGACCTGGAAGAAGCTCCTGGCTCCTGGCTTTGGATCAGTGCAGCTCCAGCCATTGTGGCTATTTAGATAGTGAACCAGCAGATGGAAGACCTCTCTCTCTGTCTCTACCTCTCTCTATAACTCTGTCTTTCAAATAAATAAAATAAAAGTCTTAAAAAAGAAAGGTGCTCGGGGGAGGCTGGAATAGTCCTGGTGGAGTGGAGGATGAGATGTGGGAGAAGGCGTCTGAGGACCGCTTGAATTTGCAGAATTACAGGGTCAGCCTGGTTGTCTGCATCCCCCGCCCACCCCAGCACTGGCTGGCTGTGTCGTCAGAGAAGGTGGACAGTGCGGCTCGCACTGGGGGCTGTGAAGAGCACTTAAGTCAGGACCTGGACACACGCACTGCACGGCAAGGCAGAGGTGGTCAAGAGGGTGCTGTGGGCGGCTGGAGCTCCGGATTTCAGTGGCAGGGTTGGGGTGTGTTCTTGGGAGTGGAGCAAAGGACACTTGGAAACCAGGCTGTCCTGCACGTATATTTTTTAAATATTTATTTATTTATTTGAAAGTCAGTTACACAGAGAGAGAAAGAAAGAGAGAGAGGGAGAGAGAGAGGTCTTTCATCCGCTGGTTCACTCCCCAATTGGCCACAACGGCCGGAGCTGTGCTGATCTGAAGCCAGGAGCCAGGAGCTTCTTCTGGGTCTTTCTATGCAGGTGCAGGGGCCCAAGCACTTGGGCCATCTTCTACTGCTTTCCCAGGCCATAGCAGAGAGCTGGATTGGAAGTGGAGCAGCCGGATCTTGAACCAGTGCCCATATGGGATGCAGCACCACAGGCTGCGGCTTTACCCGCTGTGCCACAGGGCCGGCCCCCTGCACGGATGTTAGAACTGCCTGGCTAGTGTCCAGGCTCAGCCTGACGGGGAAGTGGGGCTTGTGCAGAGTTGAGTAGAAAGGCACAGAAGTGGGAGGTTCTTTTGAACCTCAGCCAATGAACTGAACAAGGCTAAAACAAAGTCTAGCAGCAGAGGTTCATTGTGGGGAAAGAAAGGACAGTCCTTGAGAGGCAGAGCAGACCAGCAGGTCTGGCCCCTGGGGCCCCTGCGGCATTGGTGCACGGTTAGGTGTCAGGTGAGGGCCCTGGTGTGGCACTGAGGTCATCTGACATGCAGGCCTGTGGCCATTGTTACAGGTCACCTTATCTGTACACCTTCCAAGTGTATCTGCACACAGCCATCCGCATCCTGTCTAAGTAGAGGTTGTCTCAAACCTGCTCTTACTTACCAAGCAGGCAGTTGGAGCAGCGGGGTTGGCTGCTGCCTTGCCTGTGTGGACTGCATCAACCTTTCTCTGCCTCCCACTGCAAGGCTGAGCTTAAGTGAGGTAGAGACAGGGAAGGAGAAGCAGGCTGAGACTAGGAGAGTTTTGGAGTTTGCTTTTCTCATCTCCCCCGGTGGCCCTGAGCTGTCTCCCGCCACAGAAGGGCAGGGACTGCCCAGGGGGATGTTTTGACAAGGTGAAGATGATCTGGAAGCAGCAGCAGGAACACGTCCCAGCTGACTTCCCCTGACCCTTCCAGACCCTGGGCTAAGCTGTGCGAGAGGCTGAGGGGTGGTGTGTGCCCAGCGGGGTCCTGGATTCCCTTCTTGCCCTGGGCCTGGTGCTCCGGGGCCTGCCTGTGCCTCCAGGGCATTGTCGGACACTGCCCCTGGGTCACTGTGTCATCGCTGTCACCCCCCAGGCTCCCCCTCCCCAAATGGGGACATTTTGAGATAGGTGGCTCAGGAATTTCACGTGGGAAAATTTAATGAGCTCTGTCTCCATGTGCTGTATTTTTGTATCTGACATTTCTCCTGGGCTTTAAGCCATGTATTCTAATTTTGCTTGAAAAATGGCTGTGGGTGTGCTTAATATGCATTATTTACAGAAATTCATGGATTGAGGGAACTGTTTTCAGTGATTTTTGTCCATACCATAAATTCCGGTGTGTTTCGAGGTGTGATTGCGTCGTGTGTGTCGTCTCGCACCCTGGAGGAGCGGTGCTGGGGCCGTCTGCACACGCCCGGCCCTTGACCCAAGTCTCCAGCTGACCATGAGGGAACGGGGGCCGACGGACCCGGGAAACCAGGGCCCACAGTGCCGCAGCTCCTTCTGCTTGCCTTAGTGTTATTTGCATTTAATGTTTACTTGGTGACAAGTGGCATTTTGACTGGTTCTTGGCACATTTTTTTTTTTTTAACCTGTGAAAGGAGATGCTCATCGTATGAGTCAGGAGTCAGTTCAGGCAGCAGATTGGATTTATAAAGCGCAAGCCTCTTTCTCTCTAGAACACCCGTCTCCCACGTCTCGGAGTTTCTGTGAGCTGTGAATCTCCTGTGATGGCCTGGGAGTGGGAGAAGGATGTTGACAACACGCGTGCCGTCGGATCCCACCTGCTTTGCTGACCTCTCGGCTCCGTATCCGTGTGCTCCGTGTCTGTGGTTTCAGCCGGGCACAGGTTGAAAATATGCGGGAAAAGAATTGAGCCTGTACTGACCGCGCTCGGACTTTTTGCCTTGTCCTTGTTTCTTTAGAGGACATAGCAAAGCGATGACTTCATGGCCATGGCATTTGTGTCCTGTTAGCTGTTAGACGTGTTCTAGTGATGGTTTAACGTAAACAGCAGGATGTGGGTCGGTTACTGTGCTGTTTTAAAAATTTATTTATTTAAAAAATTATTTATTTATCAGAAAGGCAGAGTTACAGAGAAAGGGAGAGAGAGAGAGAGAGAGAGCTCTTCTGTCCGCTGGTTCACTCCACAGATGGCTGCAATGGCGGGGGTGGGCCAGGCTGAAGCCAGGAGCCTGGAACTCCATCCAGTCTCTCATTTGGGTGGCAGGGCCCCCCCCCAAGCACTTGGGCCATCTTCCACTGCTTTCCCAACCATGTTAGCAGGGAGCTGGATCAGGAGTGGAGCGGCTGGGACTTAACCTGGAGCGCATAAGGGATGCCGGCGCTGCAGGGAGCACCGTGCCACAGTGCCTGTCTCTACTTTACCATTTTATAGAGGCCATGACTGTTCTCAGATTTTGGTGTCTCTGGGTGTCCTGGAACGGATGCTCCACTGAAAGTGGGGACAGCTGTGTTTACCTCATTGGACCAAACTGCTCACTCTTCCTCATCCCAGCAGACATGGAGGCACTGCCATCATGACAGCAGGTGCCAGCCATTGGCCCTTGAGTGGGGCTCACAGGCAGGGGTTCATCCTGTGACACTGCTCCGCATAGCACTCCATGGGCTAGTGGTTCCTCTGACAGCAGTGCCCCATGTGTGGCCACGGCCGTGTCTGCCCAGTATCCCTGCCCTGTGTCCATCCTGTGTCCCTGCCCCCGTGTCCAGTGTCCCTGCCCCATGTCCAGTGTCCTTGCCCTGTATCTGTCCAGTGTCCCTGCCCCCATGTCCATCCTGTGTCCCTGCCCCCGTGTCCGTCCAGTGTCCCTGCCCCCGTGTCCATCCTGTGTCCCTGCCCCCATGTCCATCCAGTGTCCCTGCCCCCATGTCCATCCAGTGTCCCTGCCCCTGTGTCTGTCTAATGCCGTTGGGCTCATGGCTGTCCAGTGTCCTTGCCTGCATGGCCGTGGTTCATCTGATTGCATTGCTGTGGGTGGTATTTGAGTGAGAATGTGACTGAAGTCTGACTCCTGGGTTCATGGCCTGGCTCTGCCACTTAGTGTGGAGCCTGGGCCGTCAGTTCTTTAACCCTCCTTATCTGTTAGATGGGGATGACAGTGGAGCTTAGCTCATAGGATGGTTGTGAGAATGAACGGCACGGTCCTTGGCACACAGTTGGGGACCCAGTGGCTGTTATGGTGTCGTGTGCTTCCCGGTGTGGTGCACCTGGGCATGTTTTAGTCTTAGATACTCTTCCTCCGTTCTCCACCTTCTTCTTTGGACACTCTGTTCCCAGTACACTCTGTTCACAGGTGCACCTGTCCACCTGCTCCTGCCTGCCTCCCTGTTGTCCTCATCCCATCTCCCACCTGGTTGTTCCCTGTTGCACTTGTCACCTTCTGATCTGTGGCCGGGGTCCTTGCCTCTATTTCTGGCTGCCATCATGTGCTAAGCTGTGGCCTGCTGCAGCACAGGTGTCGTATCTTTCTCGTTCACTGTGCTGTCCTCGGCGCTGGGACCTGGAGACCAGCATCTTGCATAGATCTTTACCAGCAGGTGGAAGTAGCGTAGTAGGTGGGCGTGCAGTTCCGTGTGTCAGGTGTCGCACAGCAGGTGCAGCTGTCAGCAGTGACACTGTTGCGTCAGACGTTCTCAGTGCTGCGTTGCTCATTTGTCTGCTGTCTCCTCCCCTGCTAACAGGGAGTTGAGGCCAAGGAGGACAGGTGGGCAGGGATGAGTCAGTGGGATGAGGAAGGGGCCAGGGCTGGCGTCATTGACCGTCTGCTGGGTTGCTGCTGGCGCCGTTTCTCCTGGCGTCAACATCCCAAACACCTCTCTGCCCAGGGGACTGCTGTGAAGTTTCCCAGTGTGTGTATCTTCTTGTTGATTTCACGTGCAGCAGAACTTGTGTTTTTCTCTTTCAGGGCACCAATGCCTCTGCTCTGGAAAAAGACATTGGTCCAGAGCAGTTTCCAATCAATGAGCACTACTTCGGATTGGTCAATGTAAGTATTTAAAATTCATCACTTTGATCAAACATTGTGGAGTATCTGAAACAATTCCACTGCCAATTTCATCCCTCCCTCCCTCCCTCCCCCCTCCTCTTTCTTTCTTTCAAAGATTTACTTGTTTATTTGAAAGGCAGCATTACAGAGAGAGAGAGAGAGAGATCTTCCACCCACTGGTTCACTCCCCAAATGGCTGTGTCAGCCGGAGTTGGGCTGGTCAGGAGCCAGGAGCCAGGAGCCAGGAGCCAGGAGCTTCTTCCAGGTCCTCCTTGTGGGTGGCATGGGCCCAAGGACCGTATCATTTTCCACTGCTTTCCCAGGCCATTAGCAGGGAGCTAGATTGGAAGTGGAGTAGCTGGGACTCAAACCGGCGCACATATGGGATGCCAGCCCTGCAGGGTGGGGCTTTACTGCTATGCCACAGTGCTGGCCCCACTACTTTTTTCTTTTCTTTTTTTTTTTTTTTTTAAATCTTCTCTATTTTCATGTACTTGAAAGACAGAGAGACAGAGACAGAGAGAGAGAGAGCGAGCGAGCGAGCGAGTTTCCATCTGCTGGCTCACTCCCCAAATTTCCACAGTGGCTGTTCTGGAACAGGCTGAAATTGTCAGAGTCTCCCACGTGGGTGGCCAAGTAGTTGAGCCATCATTTTCTGCCTCCCAGGATGCATCCGCAGGAAGCTGGATCCAAAGTGGAGGCGTGGAGACCTGAAACCAGCCACTCTGATGTGGGATGTTGGCACCCCAAGAACAGCCCACACCTACTGGGTGACGACGCCTGCCGCATTACCAGGGTTTAGAGAATTGTTTGTGCTCTTTAGTGAGTGCAAGTGGCAGATGTTGGGGAAGGGATTCATTTAATCTGTGTTTCAGATTATGACTTGGCCCAGGAAGAAGGATTGAATGCCTGCGTGCCTGGGTCAGATGCACAAACCCCGCTGGGCCGGGAGGGCTTCCCTTGGCACACAGAGCCCTCGGTGGGTTCGTTCTGTCCGCCTTTGCAGATCACCCAGGAGTGGCTGACAGTTCACCTGAAGCAGGGACGGGCTGTGGGGAGAGCTGGGAGCGGTGTGTCGTGGAGCTCCTGGCCTCGTTTCCCTGGTCCTGGGTGCGTGCCGGCTTCCCCAGCACGGAGCAGGGCAGTGGCACCCTCCCCCTCTGGGAGCCCTCTTCCTGCCTCCATCCTTTCTCCTTGGGGTGGAGGTTTCAAGAGACAGCGAGTGTTAATTCCTAAACACACAGAGTTTGGGGTAATGGTTCTGACCGCGGGGCCCAGAGTGATGCACATGGCTTCTCTCGGGGAAGCTGGAAGCGGGCCTGCAAGCACCTGGTGTTTAGTGCAGTGCGAGCTGGGCTCGGATGCCGCCTGTGCCACTCCCCGGCTGGGTGACCGTGGGTGAGTTGCTTGCCCTCTCTGACCCTCTGTCCTCATCTGTAAAATGATGGGTGCCGTAAGATTAGAGTGATGAACAGGTGAGACCCGACGTGGGGCCGAGGTGCAGAGTGGGCCTGTGTTGAGTACGAGTTCCCTTCAGTTCCCGGAAGTCATCAAGGCCAAGCATTGCCGAAGGGCGAGACGCTGGTGCAGAAGAGCGTGGGAGGAGGATGGCTGAAGCTCCGTGCGCAGCGCCGACTTCTCATTCTAATGCGCCTGTTTTAGCCGTGGTAGAAAAAAAAGGAAGGCAAGGCCATTTCCTGGTTTGTGGCGGAATCTGAGTGCTGTATTTATTAATTGCTTCCTTTATGGTCGCTTTGGTGATGGATGAAGGTTCCAGCTTCTCCGTGAGAGGAGGCTTGCCTCCGGTTACGTAACCGCGTCAGCTGCGTAGACCTGGGATGTCACGATTGTTGTGGCACAGCGGCTGTCTCACTCTCGGGTGAATGGCACACAACCCGGCCGCCGGTGTTGAGGAGGTGTGCGCCTTCGGCTTTCATCTTGCGTGGCCTGTTGTAGTCTGTGTCGTTAGTCGTGTTGTTCTCAGAATGTCTTCACCCAGGGCCTGTGCGCGCAGTCCTGTGGCCGCACAGCTGGCCTCGCTGTTGGTTGGAAACCACGGGGTGGCGTTGTCGTCTTCTGTGTCTGTGATGTTGAGAGGTGTGGGCCCTGTGTGGAGGTAGGGACCTGGTGATGTTGCACTGGGGCAGTCGCCACCTTGGAGGAAACAGGACAGAGGGCAGTGGAGCTGTTGCGAGGGCGGGGCGTGGCGGGTGACTCGAGGAGACACCTGTGCCTGGTTGCTCTGGGGCAAGTGAGGAAATGCGGTCGGAGCCCAGGGGCTGGCACAGAATCTGGAGGGAACAAAACAGACAGACCCGGTTCAGTGCGGATGGTGTCCGCGAGCGAGAGGTTCCCAGAGCCCAGACCTCTTCTGATTTGGATCTTCACTGCTCCCGTCATGGGAGTTTTGGACGAGTTACGGTGTGGTCTCTTATCAAGCCGGCTGCTTTCCTGGGTCTGTTACGTGGAGTTTCTCTCTCTAAGTGCCCGAAGGTGTCATGCAACCGTTTATCAGATGCAGTGCTTGTAGTTGTGGTAGAGTTTCTTGGCGTGGAGAAGCACCAGAATTATATACAGCAGTGCCCCTGACCCACGGAGGGGCGGTTCCAAGACCCTCAGTGGACCCCTGACACTGTGCATAGTGGCAAACCCTAGATGTAACTTTGTTTTTTCCTAACTCTCTGTAAGCGTGAATGTCAGTCAGTGAATCAGGCACAGTCACAGATTGACAGTAACTGTAACGCATGTTCTCTAGGTAGGAAGTTGGTAACAGAATCACCAGCATCACTCCTTGTTTCTGGCCCTGGGCCATCACTAAGTAAAATAAGGCTTGGTTGGACGTGAGTGTTCCAACACTACCACAGTTGATCTCATGGGCAAGTGACTAATGGGCGAGCAGCGCGTACAGCGTGGGCACGAGTCGTCCACGTCAGGTTGGGTTGGAGCAGCACAGTGCAAGGTTGTGTCATGCCTCTCGGAGCAGTGTACAACTGAAAACTTGCAAAGTTGGTCATTTCTGTAATTTTCCATTTCATGTTTGCGGATCCTGATTGAATGCAGGTGAACTGAAACCCTGGAAGGCCAGACTGCCCATGAGGAGGACTCACGGCACACTGCTGTCCCTGTCCTGCTGTCAGACTGTCGCGGGTGGTTAGGAGTGGTGACTAGTTAGTTCTCTAGCACAGCGAGTAACCTGGGCGGGTTCCTGCGGCTGCCTGCTCCCTCTCCCCACTTTGCCGGCGGTGGCCTTTGTCCCCAGCAGTGACACGGACCCCTGTTGTCCTTTGGCAGTTTGGGAACACGTGCTACTGTAACTCCGTGCTGCAGGCGCTGTACTTCTGCCGGCCGTTCCGTGAGAATGTGCTGGCATACAAGGCCCAGCAGAAAAAGAAGGAAAACCTGCTGACGTGCCTGGCGGACCTGTTCCACAGCATCGCCACGCAGAAGAAGAAGGTGGGCGTCATCCCCCCGAAGAAGTTCATCTCTAGGCTGAGAAAGGAGAACGGTGAGTCGTGGGGCGGACAGCCGGCGGTGCCGTGCAGCCTCCGAGCGAGGAGCTGCTTTGCTTTGTTTAAAAATGGGGTAGAGTATGTGCCGGAGGTGGGCCAGGCTGGTGCCGCGAGCCGGAACTCCATCCAGCTGTTCCTTTGGATGGCAAGGGCCCAAGTCCTGGAACCCTGCCAGGGTGTGCATTAGCAGGAAGCTAGATTGGAAGTGGAGGAGCTGGGATTTGAACCAGATATGGGACGGGGGCATCCCAGGCAATGTCCCAGCTGCTGTTAGTTAGTCCTAACTGCCCCTCGAGTATTTTTTTAAGAAAAGATAATTTTTTCCTTCTCTACCCAGAATACATACAACCAGGTTCAGAATACGCTTCAAAGTTCAGAGTTGTGATCCCATCTTAGAATGCTTGGTGACATTCTGGGTAGGATCGTTGCGAGAGGAGAGGCTGGCAAGCAGCCTTCCTGGGGAGTGCCTGTTGGAATAGACAGGCAGGGCTGTAACTGAGTAAGACAGCGCTGTCTTAATCACCTGGCGACGTGTGACCAGAATAAGTGTGTAACGTCTGACCAGAGCTTCTGTAGTTTAATATCCCGTCCAAGTTTTATTGCCTGACAGCGGTGGGGAACCTTTTTTCTGCCAAGGGCCATTTGGATATTGTAAACATCATGCGCAGGTCATACAAAATTGTCAGCTTAAAAACTAGCCTGCTGTAGACTTCATTGATTTTTTTTTTAAGATTAATTAATTTATTTGAAAGTTGGAGTTACACAGAGAGAGAAGGAGGGGCAGAGAGAGAGAGAGAGAGAGAGAGAGGATTTCCATCTGCTGGTTCACTCCCTAATTGGCTACAATGGCTGGAGCTGTGCTGATTTGAAGCCAGGAGCCAGGAGCTTTTCCCGGGTCTCCCATGCAGCTGTAGGGGCCCAAGGCCTTGGGCCATCTTCCACTGCTTTCCCAGGCCACAGCAGAGAGCTGGATCGGAAGTGGAGCAGCCTGGTCTTGAACTGGCACCCATATGGACTGCCAGCACTGCAGGCAGCGGCTTTACCCACTACGCCACAGTACCGGCCCCCAATTTTTTAAAAAAGATTTATATAATTATTTGAAAGTCGGAAAGAGAAGGAGAGGCAAAGAGAGAGAGGGAGAGAGGTCTTCCATCCACTGGTTCACTTCCCAATTGGCCATGACAGTTGGAGCTGCACCGATCTGAAGCCAGGAGCCAGGGGCTTCTTCCAGGTGTACCACATGGGTGCAGGAGCCCAGGGACTTGGACCATCTTCTCCTGCTTTCCCAGGCCGTAGCAGAGAGCTGGATTGCAAGTGGAGCAGCTGGGACTCTAACTGGCGCCCATACAGGTGTCCATCATTGCAGGCTGCTTGCGGCCTTACCCACTTCGCCACAGTGCCAGCCCCATCTTCATTGAATTTTGATGCTCGCCTGCGGCTGCCTTGGCAAGACCATACCCAGTGATTTTGCAGGCTGAACGTTCTGCACCCCTGATGGGCATCAGCTGGACATCTTTATATGATGCAGATGCTTTGCTGTCACTTGATTTTTCTGAATTCTTTTTCTGGGGCGTGCAGGTAGAAATGTAGAAAGTGGGCCTTTGGGGGTCGGCACCGTGGTATATCAATTTAAGCTGCCGCCTTCGATGGTAGCATCTCATATGGGTGCCTGTTTGAGTCCTGGCTACTCTACTTCTGATCCAGCTCCCTGCTAATGCACCTGGGAAAGCAGTAGAAGATGGCCCAAGTGCTTGGGCCCCTGCATCTGTGTGGGAGACCCAGATGAAGTTCCAGGTTCCTGGCTTTAGCCTGGCCCAGCCCCAGCCATTGTGGCCATTTGGGGAGTGAGCCAGCAGATGGAAGATCTCTCTCTCTCTCTCTTTCTCTCTCTCTCTGACTCTGCATTTCAAATAAATGAAATCTTAAAAAAAATGGGGGTATGTATGCTAGAAGTTTTGCGTTAGTAATTTAAAAAAATTATTTAAAGGAGTTGTGGAGAGAGAGGGGAATGGAGAGAGAGAGAGCGAGCAAGCGAGAGAGATCTTTCATCTGCTGATGCACTCCTCAAATGGTCCAGATGAGTGGGTTGGGCCAGGCTGAAGCCAGGAGCCAGGAACTCCGTCTGGATCTCCCATGTGTGTGGCAGAACCCAAGCACTTGGACCATCTGCGGCTGCTTTCCCAGGAGCGTTAGCGGGGAGCTGGATGGGAATGGAGCAGCCTGGACTTGAACTGGCGCTCCTGGGGTGCAGGCGTCACAGGCTGTGGCTTTACCCGTTGCACACAATGCCAGTTTCTGCACTGGGGGTTTGGTGACTGTGGAACTATTTGATATGGGAACCGTGTCTGTCTTGGACTGAGCCGTATGCCGACAGACTTGCACCATTCATCAGATGCTTGCTTTGGAAAGTCTTATTTCATTGCTGTCTTTCAAGATTGTTCTGGTTTGTCTGTAGCAGAGTACGAGCTGAGAGAGAAGGACACAGAGCGCCCAGCCTTCTCACGGGCGTGGTCGGTAGTGGTGTGCTCAGCCACACGTGTCCCGATTGTCCCCCGCTAGGGAACGGCAGCAGGCGCCCGCCCCATTTGTCTTTGGTGTCAGAATACTGAGACGGAGAGACGCTCACGTGAACTCACTGTCTCCCTTATCTGTTTCGTTTAAGCTACTTGTAGGCTGGCCCAGGATCTTACACCATTTTGGGGGAGAGACCCCAGTTGTTCAGGATAAAAGACAAACAACTAAACGTCGGTGGTCACATTGTATTAGACAGCAAAACTAATCCGAGAGTTTCTGTTCTTTTGTAGAATGAAGAAACGTTTTTGGACTTTTTTTATACATAAACTTTAGAGAGATGTGGGCAGGTTGTTGGTGGTGGGTGGCGAAATGGAAATGAATGAAAATTCTTTGGACACTAACGCGCTGGAGCCGTAGGATCTGTCTGTATTCTGTGCCCATCCGGCAGCATGGCGTGTAATACAGCTCGTGTGTGTGTTCGCTCTTCAGGAACCAGAGATTGAAATAACGGCCTTCTGCCTTCCAGATCTCTTCGATAACTACATGCAGCAGGATGCCCATGAATTTTTAAACTATTTGCTGAACACTATCGCCGACATCCTGCAGGAAGAGAAGAAACAGGAAAAGCAAAATGGAAAATTAAAGAACGGCAACATGAACGAACCTGCGGAGAACAACAAGGCGGAGCTCACCTGGGTCCATGAGATTTTCCAGGGGACGCTCACCAATGAAACGCGATGCTTGAACTGTGAAACTGTGAGTGCTGGCGGGCGGGCGTGCGCGTGTCAACACGGGCTGTGTTGCGTGCGACTGCGGTGCGGTAGAACAGCATGAAGCAGCTGCCTTCGGTGTACAGGGACAGACCCGTGCATGTATGTGCAGCTCCAGTGCCGTGCATACAAGATGTCTGGGTAGTGGTTAACGCAGAGTGGTGAGGGCAGATGGCCTCAACAACTGCTGGCCAGCTTTGTACCGTGGGCAAAGTTTAGGGTCCACACGTTGAGCTGTTGAATTGGACTTCGACTGGCTGTCTTAAAAAGATGTTGGTCATGAGAAGTCAGCTTTCCTGTGTGGGTGTTTGGGACTCAAGTACTTGGACCATCATCTGCTGCCTCCTAGGCGCATTAGCGAGCAGCTGGGTTGGAAATTCAGAGTAGCCAAGACTTGAATCAGGTGCTCCAATATGGGATGCAGGCATCCCAAGCAATATCTTTTTTTTTTTTTTTTAAAGATTTATTTATTTGGAAGTCAGAGTTACACACAGAAAGACACACACACACACACACACACACACACACAGAGAGAGAGAGAGAGAGAGAGAGAGAGGTCTTCCATCCACTGGTTCACTCCCCAATTGGTTACAGTGGCTGGAGCTGTGCTGATCTGAAGCCAGGAGCCAGGAGCTTCTTCCAGGTCTCCCACATGGATGCAGGGGCCCAAGGACTTGGGCCATCTTCTACTGCTTTCTCAGGTCATAGCAGAGAGCTGGATCGGAAGTGGAATAGCCGGGACTAGAACTGGCGCCCATTTGGGATGCTGGCACTGCAGGTGGCAGCTTTACCCGCTGTGCCACAGTACCAGACCCCCAAGCAATGTCTTACCCTGCTGCACCTCAGTGCCTGCCCTGACACTGTTAGGCTGAGTCTCACTTAAAAAATAAAATAGATTGGAGGAACAGAGAGAGGACAGTGAGGGTGCAAAAGGGAGAAGTAGATACCTTCCCTCTGCTGGTTCACTCCCTAAATACCCGCAGTAGCTGGGGCTGAGCCAGGCCAAAGCTGGGAGCCAGGAACTCAAACCAGTCTCCCAGATAGGAGACAGGGACCCAGCAGTTTGAGCCATCAGTGCTGGCCCTCCGTCCGGGGTGTGCCAGTTAGCAGAAAGCTGGAATCAGGAGCTGGAGTTGGGACTCAAGCCCAGGTACCCCAAGGTAAGACGTGGGTACCTTAAGTGCTGTCTGTCTGCCACCCCTCAGTCCCTCTGTAGTTCCTCTTGTGTCTGATTAGGTCAGATGACCCCAGTAAATGCAATATTGCATCCTGGGGAATTTGTATTGCAGAAGCTGTCGCCGAGCACCTTAGTTCCCAGGGGGTAGGGATGGGAAACCACGGCTCGGAGAGTCCTCCAGAGATTTTGGACGATACCCGAGTGTGTGTGTGACGGGATTCTGACTGTTGGGGCTTGGACTGTGGGAGGTTACCATGTGTGGACACATCTTTTTGAAGAATGGGGCAGCCTTGAAAACCCCTTCCCCCTCCCTGCGCAGTGATGAGTTGTTTGAGGAGGGCGTGTTTTTCTCTCTGGAGTTACTTGCAGTCACTTCCATTGTTTTTTAGACCCTTTGGATGGGATCCTGGGGGTCCCGTAGCCCCTGTTCTCCCAGTACCCCAGTCCTGCCTGTGACGTGCGATATGCTAGCCACTCGGTCACCAGCATCTGCCAGATGGCGTCCAGAGGCAGGGGACGCAATCCTGAGCCGATGCTTCCCGTTTTTAGAGAGCTCTAATTGTTAGAAAGTCCTCGCTTTCTAAGACAGCGCATCGCCTGGAGGCTTCTCTCTTATTGTGAACTGCGGAACAGGAGTAAGTGAACAGAGTGGAAGAGGAGGCCCTGCGGTAGCTCCTTCCCTCCCAGGATGCGAAACTTGGCCCCCCCCCCCCCCGTGTCTGGGGACCCACGTGTGTGAAACCCCGCCGTGGGATCCAGCTGCCCTCCATCCTGGGGCGCCGTGCCATGGCCCCGCTCAGCCTCCAGTTACGGAAAACCCTGTGCCAGCCCTTACGCTTTCAGAAACTGATGGCTTTGCCCCCTGGGTCTCCGTCTTTGTAAATGTTGCTTATGATTGCAGTGCAAATGTCAGCCGAGGGATTTATGGAGACAAACAGTTTCATTTGGCAGTAGAGCGGCAGAGACTGCTTGAAGGGTAATTCATGGCTGACTTTTCCAGATAACCTTGCTAAAAGCGCTCCAGAATTGGGGCTTGGGGATTTGCCGCTGTAGCCTCCACGTTGGCTTCGTGGGTTCCACCTTCATGTGCCTCTTAAGCTTTGTTAGGCCAGTTGGTGCTGAATTTTGTTGTCTGTTGTAATTTTCCCCTTTCCCATTTAAGCTGAATTTTTGCTGTGAGAATCGGTTTCCAGCGCTTCTCTGGGACCTTAAACCAAAGCACATTTCTCTCTGTGACTGCACGCAGGAGACTGCTTACAGAACTGCTATAGGGGTAGGCATTTCGCTTGGCAGGTAGGAGCCCCACAGCCCAGATCAGAGCGCTTGGCTTTGAGTCCTGCCTCAGCTCCGATTCCAGCTTCCTGCTCCTGTGCACCCCGGACGCAGCCGCGATGGCTCCAGTACTCGGGTCATGTGGGAGACCCAGGTTGCATTCCTGGTTCCTGGCTTCAGCCTGGCCCAGCTCCAGCTGTTACAGACATTTGGGGGATGAACCAGCAGATGGGGTTTCTCTGTGAAGCACTGCTTTCTGAAGGTACCGGTTCTACAGCAGCTCCTGCGCCTTTGCAGACTGAGCAGGGTCGGGTGATGCGGGGGCTGTGGCTCCTTCAGTGGAGATTCAGGGGGCGGAAGCAGCCACTTTCCCCAGACCCGCCACGCCAGCCCCACACATGGTCAGTTCACAGCCCTAACCTGTCTGGTGCCCGCCCACTGGCAGGTCACGTGGCTGCTCTGAGAATCAAGGGTGGGGAACGGGCAGAGGGGAGGATTTGGGGCCATTAATGCATCCTGAGCGCCATAAAAATTGAAGCTGGGTGGTAGAGTGGTAGGGAGGGGATGTGTGTCTGTGCCTTCTTCCTACAAAATTAACTTAAATTTTTTTTAAAGTGTAGCCTACTTTTTTATTCAATATGATAACTGCAGGCCAGTACACCATTCCTAACTTTTTGGCCATCTTAGACCATTTAAAATTTTTTTGTCTCTCCCCAGTTTAGTAAATACCGACTTAAAAAATTTGGAGCTGGTATTGAGGTGCAGCAGGGCGAGCTGCCACCTGAGATCTGCTACGAGTGCCAGTTCAGTCTCAGCTCCTCCACTTGTGGTTCAGCTCCCGGCTAATGCTCCTGGAGAACAGCGGAAGACGGCCCAAGTACTTGGGTCCCTGCGTTCACCTGGGAGACCAGGATGGAGTTCCAGGCTCCTGACTTCTGTCCTGGCTGTTGTGCCATTTGGAGAGTGAACCAGCAAGCAGTTTGAAGATCTCTCTCTGTGTACCTCTTCCCCTGCCATAACTCCATCTTTTTATTTATTTATTTGAATGGCGGAGTTACAGAGGGAGAGGCAGAGGCAGAGGCAAAGAGAGAGCAATCTCTCTGCTGGTTCACTCCCCAAATGGCTGTGATGACTGGGGCTGGGCCAGGCTGAAGCCAGGAGCCAGGAGCTTCATCTGGGTCTCCCACATGGGTGCAGGGACCCAAGGACTTGGGCTGTCTTTCACTACTTTCCTAGGAGCATTATCAGGGAGCTGGATCAAAAGTGGAGCAGTTGGCAATTGAACTGACACTGCAAGATGGCGGCTTAACTCACTACGCCACAGCACCAGCCTCCGATAAATAAATCTCGTAAAAAATCACTTAAAAAAAAAGAGACTTTTATTTGAAAGAGCGATGCAGAGAGAAGGAGAGGGAGAGACAGTGAGAAATTGTCCATCAACTGGTTTATTCCTCTAATGCCCGCAGTAGTGGTGGGAGTGCTGGGCCAGGCTGAAGCAAGCCAGGAGCCAGGAACTCCACCTGGATCTCCATGTGGGTGGCGGGGACCCAAGTACTTGGACCGTCATCAGCTGCCTTCCAGATGCATTAACAAAAAGCTGGATGGGGAGTGTGGAGCAGCTAGGACTTGAACAGGCAGTGGGATGTGGGATGTGGCGTCCCAGGCCGCAGCTGAACCTGCTGTGCTGCAGTACCCCCGCCGCCCCCATGCTTCCTTTTTAACCACTTTCCAAATGCAGGACCTTATTCCGTCTTTACAACATCCTTGTGAGGTAGATACTATGCTTTTGTTATAAAGATTTATTTATTTGAGAGGCAGCATTACAGAGAGAGGGAGAGACAGAGAGGTCTTCTGCAGCTGGGACTGGAACTGGCACCCACGTGGGCTGCTGGCACCGCAGGTCAGGGCTTAGCCTACAACACCACAGAGCTGGCCCCAAGAGACAGATACTCTGACCGTCCCCACTTGACAGATGAGAAAGCCGAGATTCAGAGGGCAAGTATCTGGCCAGTTTACGAGTGCCAGAGTAGGATCTCGATGTGGCCAGCCTGTGTCCACACGTTCCCGGGTGTGCTTATGGAGGTACGAAGGAGGCGTCTGTCTCTAGCCGTTTCTCTAGATACCTCCTGCAGTTTGGAGCCACAGCTGGTTACCGTGGTTCTCAAGAATGATTTTGGCTGTTGCCACCAGCTGAGCACGTCAGGGTTGTCTGGGTGGGCGTGCCCTTCCCGCTGCAGACAGGAGAGCCTGTGGGATGTTAGCCCCTCCTCAGTGAGCTCCAGCGGGCAGGGAGCCATGTGGGCAGCCGGGGGCACTGCCAGTGGTGATGCTTCTTGGCCCAGGTCAGCCCCGTGTGGTCAGCACGACTCTCCAGCTCCTGGGCCACACACACGGACGCAGGGGAGTGGCTACAAGGGGCTGGGGAGAGCAAACAGCCCTCTGCAAAGTGCTGACTGCGGGGCCATGGGTGGTCCAAGTCCCCCTCCTCGCCCATTGCCATCCCTCAGCCAGCCAGGCCTGCAGAAATGTCTGATGCTTGTGACTTGAAACAGAAAGGGAAAGGAATGGAGAGGAAGGGAGTTGGTGGAGTTTGAGTTATTAAAAGTCTGAGTCAAAGTTGTGGTAGAGACTAGAGACGAGGCTACATTGAGAATGCTGTCTTGTGTTTAGCTCTGGTTGTTTGTGAGGTTACTGGTTGCCAGGCAGTATGCAGCCACATCTGCCTTGGCTATAAATATAAATATAAATGTAAATATAAAATATATATTTGAAAGGCAGAGTTACAGAGGGAGGGAGGGAGGGAGAGAGAATCTTCCATCTGCTGGCTCACTCCCAAGATGGCTGCAATGGCCAGGGCTGGGCCAGACAGAAGTCAGGAGCCTGGAGCTCCATCCATGTCTCCTACGGGAATGCAGGTGCCCAGACACCCAGGCTGTCTTCCACTGCTTTCCCAGGCGCATTAGCAGGGAGCTGGATCAGAAGTGGAGCAGCCGGCACTTGAAGCAGCGCCCATGTGAGGTGCTGGCATTGCAGGCAGCGGTTCAAGCTGCCTTGCCCCAACACCGGCCCCACTTCTTGGTGTTTTTTGATTATCTGTAAATGTTCTAAGTTTTCTGTGTCAGGTCTGTTGTGTGTTGTGTACTAACATGTTGTCCCCCCTCCCCCGTCGCCCTGTTATTTTGGTTTCAGGTTAGTAGCAAAGATGAAGATTTCCTGGACCTTTCTGTTGACGTGGAACAGAACACATCCATCACCCACTGCCTCAGGTAACCCCGTGGCTTCCGCTGCGCTGGGCATTGCGGTCAGATTGGTACACACTTGGGGAAGGGGCGCTCTGTCTTTCTTCAGGAGATAATCTTTCCTTAAACCAATGTAATCCTATTATTGTCTGTTTCTTCTTTCTCAAGAGAGATTAAAAATGAATGTATGTGGTCTGGAGAGGAGTCTGGCTGAGGAGAGGGAAGATCCAGTGGAAGTCCTTAATCATGAAATCTAGAAATAGGATTTTAATCTTTAATGCAAATGTGTGCTGTGGGCTCTCGTCGGCTGTTCTCTCTCCCACCTTCTGTCAGATCACACTTAACACTCACACACACAACCTCCCATATGCGTACTTACACATTCATATACACACATACATGCGCACATACACATAGCCTCACATATACACATACAACCTCACATGGGTGCATGTGCACACACACAGCCTCACATATAGACATGCACACACACAACCTCACACATGCACATGTACACATTCATACACACATACATGTGCACACACACAACTTCACATATACACATGTACACATACAACCTCACACATGCACATGTACACATTCATACACACATACACATAACTTCACATATATACATGTACACATACAACCTCACACATGCACATGCACACATTCATACATGTGTATATACACACAGCGTCACATATAGACATGCACATATTCACATACACAGCCACACATATGCATACTTATTCTCACATGCTCACACATATACACACATACACATTCACACATGCACACATGTATGCACACTTACACATTCATACACAGCCTCACATATACACATGTACACATTCACACACATATACATCCTCACATATACATATGTACACACACATGCTCATGCACACATTCACACATATACATCACACATACACACATACACAAACACACATGTACACACACAACCTGATATACAGTCACATATATAGTCACACACCCTCACACACATACATGTTCACACATACAACATATGCACATACTTATACATGCACATACATGCTCACACACAACCTGTTATGTACACATATACATATTCACACACATCCTCACACACACAACCTCACATATACACCTACATAGTCACACATGCGCACATACATACACACACATTCACACACAGACACACACATGTTCACACACGTACACACAATGTGATTTATACAGTCACATACACAGCCGCACACATACAACCTCACATGTACAGTTATACATTCACACATGCACACACATACACACATGTACATGTGCTCACACATACACATACATTCACACATACACACTTTTACACTTACACATACTTCACCTACACAGTCACACACATGTGCTCACACACATGCACACACACATATTCACACATACACACATTCACACACATACACTTAAACACACACTCATACACAACACACAGTCCAGTGGGTGTACACACACACACACAACCATACAGTTCGCTAAGTAAATAGATTTTTGCCCTTACTCTACGACGGTCTGTTATTTAAAAATTTCGTCTTTGGAGCTGAGGCCCGGTGAGGGAGCTGCCTTTCCCTGTGTCTCTCCCGTCTCGTTGGCGAGCACTCAGGGAAGGAAGCCTCTGGAGAGGAGGCGGCAGAGGCCCTGGGCAGTGAGACGTGCTCGGAGCTGCCTGCCGTGGGGACACAGCCCCTCCCTCCTCCCTGCCTTCCAGCGGGAGGTCGCGAGTGCCCTGGTAACGAGTGAAGATCAGACAGGGCCTCCCGGTGCTCCCTCTCTGTTGGGAACACACAGACACGAGCAGAGCTTGGAAGGAGACAGACCTGCCTGGAGCGCGGGGGCATGCGTGCCTCCCTCTCCTGCCGGGTCCCAGCTCAGAGACGTTTTGTGCTGCACAACAAGGCACTGTTGATTTTGCTCAGTAGCAATCAGGGCAGAGCGGTTCTTGCTGGAGTGTGGTGTACTTGGAATCCTCTTTTTAATTAGTTAATTTTTAAGATTATTTATTTATTTGAAAGGCAAAGTTGCAGAGAGGCAGAGGCAGAGAGAGGTCTTCCATTTGCTGGTTCACTCCCCAAATAGTCACAATGGCTGGAGCTGAGCCAATCTGAAGCCAAGAGCCAGGAGCATCTTCCAGGCCTCCCACACGGGTGCAGGGGCATCTTCTGCTTTCTGAGGCCATAGCTGAGAGCTGGATCAGAGGTGGAGCAGCCGGGTCTCGAGTCAGTGCCCGTTTGGGATGCTGACACTGTAGGAGGTGGCTTTATCTGCTATGCCACAGCACTGCCCCTCCCTCTCTTTTATTTTTAAACATTCTTTTAAAGGTCTATTTATTTAAAAGGCAGACTTAGAGAGAAAGAGAAATCTTCCATCTCCTGGTTCACTCCTCAGGAGTCTGGGCCAGGCCAAAGCCAGGAGCCGGGAGCTTCATCCAGGTCTCCCGCGTGGGTGGCAGGGGCCCATCCTCTGCTGCTTTCCCAGGTACATTAGCAGGGAGTTGCATCTGAAGTGGAGCAGCTGGGACTTGAACCAGCATCCATCAGCGATTCTAGCATTGCAGGCAGTGGCTTAACCTGCCGGGCCACAATGCCAGCCCCCCTTGGAGTCCTTCAGGAGAACAGGTTGGGGTTCCTGCTGTGTGACGGGGAAGATGCTGGCTGCCTTCCTGATCCCTGGCAGATGGTTGCCTCTGAGCGTCCTGTCGAGCGGGCATTTCAGCTCTTGCCTGCAGACGCCACTGGCCCAGGTGCCTGGGACGAGTCTGTCTTCGTGGTTTGTAGCATGTGCGTGGGGTAGAGTGACCTTTTTCTCCTGGGTGGTTCTGTCCATGGCCTGGGTTCCTAACATGCCATTTTCGGTCTCCCTGAGGTTTTACAGTCACAGGGCCTGGAAGAAGTTGAATGAACTTGTGCCAGCGTTAGTGGCAGAAGCATGAGGGCAAAGGCATGATTTGGTGAGAATTTGGAGTTAGGGAGGGCGGCTGCTCCCCCACACTTCCAGCCGATTCCTGAGCCCTCAGGAGGGCCAGCAGCACTGGCCATAGCTTCCAGATCCGCCAGCCAGGTCACAGGCTGAGTGCTTAGGTACGATTTCGGCCTGTGGGGGAACTGATTTTCAGAGGAATGTAACCCCCATTTGTGTCCCCGTGTGGTTTTTTCCCCTGGAAGGATGTGCATGTTGGAATGTGGAACTGGTGAGGGCAGGGTGTATGCACTGGGCAGTATTCAGGCCGGGAAGGTGAGCTTGGAGTGGCCTCTGAACACCTGGGGACATCATTCCGTTCCATCTGTTGGGCTGTCAAAGCTGGTGTTCCACCCACCCCACCCCCCATTTAAAAAGTAGTTATTTTGTTTATTTGAAAAGCAGAGAGAGAGACACAGAGAGATCTTGTATTCTCTGGTTCACTCCCCAAGTGCCTGCGACAACTGGGGCTGGGCCAGGTTGAAGCCTGGATCTAGGAACTCTGGCTTGTTCTCCCACATGCATGGCAGGGACCCAGTCACTTGAGCCATCACCTGCTGCCTCCCGGAGTGTGTGCCAGCAGAGTGGGGACTGGAGCCCAGGCACTCCAGTGTGGGGTGTGGGCGTCCCAAGAGATATCTTAGCTGCTGTGTCAGACACCTGTTTCTCCTCCCTCAGATGCAAGCTGGACTGATCTCCTGCTCGCAGGCGCAGGTAAAGAAAGAGAAGCCACCAGGTGCTGTCTCGCGGAGAGTCCTGGGTTGTGGTGGTGGCTTTGAGAGAGAGAGAGAGAGAGAGAGAGAGAGAAAGAGAGGAGGGAGGGAGGGGGAGCACAGGAGGGAGACCCTGGGGACAGGTGATGTCAGCTGGGTCTCGCGCTGTTTTTCTCTGAGATCAAGGGGAAGGGATGATTGTGATCTTTCTGGGGCCCTTTGAAGGTTTACTCTGGTTTGCATTCTTGGAGACTTGGCTTTGAAGTTAGAATTATAAATCTTGAGCATCGTGTCTCTCCTGTCTTCATCTGTTGTAGTCACTTTGGAGAATCATGCTTGGCACTGTGGGATTGGGATTAGCCTCCTGCTGTGCCTCCCAGGGGGCTCTGGGTGTTTGCCTGGACTTCTGTCCCGAGGAGCCGTGTCAGTGCTGGGATGCCCAGACACCATCCAGAGAGGCTGCTGGCTCTGATTCTAACGCTGTCAAGCCTCAGGCGGTGTCCTGAGCAAGGGTTGTCCTCTGTGATGGGAGGAGGCTGGGAAAGAAAGAAAGATTTTGGCTTTTGTTTCAGACAGTTCAGGAACAGCCTCAGGCCAAATCCGAGCCACAGTGGAGTTGATGTCAGTGATCCGCGCGTGGCTCCCGTGGCTGCTTTGCCTGCGTGCGCCTGTGTCTTCCACACTCTCCGTGTCCTGATGCCACTTGCCCGTCCTCTGCCTTCCTCCTGGTAAAATTCCCAGTGTCCCACAGACAGGGAAGTCAGGCGAACGGTAGGGAAAGGCCTTCTAACTCTCTTGATTGAAAAAAATTAATCTCCTGTAAGAAATTCCTGCTCTACTTACTCTGAGAACCCCCCGCCCTGTGCTTTCACAGGCGCAGCCTTTGCCACGTGCTTATCTCGTGGTTTCTCTGATCTGGGTTTCAGTTTTGGTTATTTTTGATATGTGGTATTTTCTGGTACCTGTCATAGAAGCCTAACTCGTGACTCTTATTTAAGTGAAAGGCAAAATTACAAACACAAAGAGATTTTCCAACTGCTGGTTCACTCCCCAAATGGCCACAACAGCCAGGGCTGGGCCAAGAGAAGCCAGGAGCCTGACTCTCCATCCGGGTCTCCCACATGGTTGGCCGAGGCCCAAGCACTTGGGCCATCCTCTGCTGCCTTCCCAGGTGCATTAGCAGGGAGCTGGATTAGAAGTGGAGCACTTGGGACTTGAACTGGTGGCTCATACGGGATGCTGGCATCGCAGGCAGCGACTTAACCTCCTGCGCCACAGCATGGGCCCCGCTCGGTGGTACTTGAACTGCGTGTTTCAGAATCACCCGAGGAAGTTGGTGAAAATGGAGATCAAGGAACCTCAGTGTGTGTTCAGGAGTCTCCGTGGGCCTGGGCATCCAGGCCTGTTTTAATGAACATTCCAGTGGTTCCGAGACCACCCAGGTTTGAGCACCACACCTGTAGGCCGTTGCTCCTTGCACAGGGCCTCTGGACTGGGACTCAGGAGAAAAGCGGACGCTCAGGTCTGTCCTAGGAGCTCACCAGGGTTCTCGTTTGGATATGTCCCTGGGTGTTGCAGGTGCACCTCGAGAAGCGCCGGAAGGCAGCTCTTGGCTCTGGCGGTGCCTCAGGCCTTCTGGGGGGCTTGTAAGACAGCAATGCCTGCGTCGCACTGGGGGGCTCTACTGAGGGGAGAGGGGAAGGAGGTGGGGCTGAGGTTGTCACTGCGATCGTTGACCAAGCTCCCCGGGTGATTCTGATGAGCCGTGCCCTGGCTTTAGAACAGAGCTTCCGGGGGCTGGCACGGTGGTGTAGCGGGTAAAGCCACCGCCTGCAGTGCTGGCATCCCATACGGGCACCTGTTCGAGTCCCGGCTGCTCCACTTCTGATCCAGCTCTCTGCTATGGCCTGGGAAAGCAGTGGGGCACCCACATGGGAGACCCGGAGGAAGCTCCTGGCCCAGCCCCGGCCGTTGGTGGCCATTTGGGAAATGAACCATCAGAAAGAAGACCTCCTCCCCAGCCCCTGCCCCCTTAACTCTGCCCTTCAAATAAATACTATAATCTTTAAAAAAGGAAAGTTCCTGGACTTCAGCTGCCCACGTTTGTCGTCACAGCGGTCTGGTGTGACGGATGTGCCTGCGCTGCCTCAGTTCACTGCCGCCCCAGCCCCTTTCTCTAACTGCCTCCTTGTCCAGTTCTCAACTCACGGATGCCCAAGAGCACCACCCTGTCTGTTGCACGGGCTTCTGGCCGGCTGGGGCTCATCGGGGCTGTGGTTGTTTGTAAATCAGCTCCTTTTAAAGATGGATTTATTTAGTCGAAAGTCAGAGTACAGAGAGAGAGAAATCTTCCATCCACTGGTCACTCCTCAGATGGCCCCAATGGCCTGGGTTGGGCCCGGCCAATGCCAGGAGCCAGGAGCTTCTTCCAGGTCTCCTGCATGGTTGCCTCAGGGGCCCAAGCACTTGGACTGTCTTCTGCTGCTTTCCCAGGCATGCTAGGAGAGAGCTGGACTGGAAGTGGAACAGCTGGGACATGAACCGGCGCCCATATAGGATGCTGGCGCTGTAGGCAGCAGCTTTACCCACTGACACCACAGCGCCGGCCCCGAGATCGGCCATTTAAATTGGGTTCTCACCTTTGCTGCATTTCGGCCTCTCTGGATCCATAAACCCTTCAGAGAGTGTTTGCCGAGAAACCAGAATGAGTGCACCCTGTTGGACTCCTTCCCCAAGGCTGGGCTTTCCCGGCTGTGGACCCTTTCGCTTGGTGAGAGGCAGACACTCCGAGGATGATCTCCTTCGCCACTCGCCCTCTCCCCATTCCCCTCTCCACCCTGCTGCGTGCTGTGCACCCAGGCAGGAGCCCACAGCCGTCACTGGCCGACGTCCCCATGCAGCCGTGTGCAGCTGCACCGAAATCCGAGTGTCGAGGGGAGGTGCAGCCTCCGTGATTTCCCGCCCCTCCGACACCTTCCATTGACTCCTGCCGGGTCCTGTTTCCGAAGAGCACCGTCTGACTAGGACTTGGCCCTGAGGAGACCTGCCTGGGGCCCCGAGCCACGCAGCTGCCGAGCACTTGAGACTGGTGGCTCGCTGCAGCCGTGGTTCCGCTGCACCTGCGTGACCCTGCCGAGCTCTGTGGCATCCCTCTCTGTTGTTCCCTCTCTGAGAACCTCCCGTGGACGTAGCCCCTTGGGGAAACCTCTTACATCACCCAAGTTCAAGTTCACTTCCTCTTCCTCTGGGCTCATCCCGCTCTAGTCTTTGCTTATTCGTCCATTTAGCCGGCGTGCGTTCTTGAGGGTGGCTGGGGATGAGGCTGTGAGACACCCAAGGAGGAGCCCTGCATGGTGAGCGCCCAGGGGCACTCAGCACTGTGGGGAAACAGCCTGCGCAGATGCCCCGGGCAGGCAGAGCCCTGAAGGGGAAGGCATGGGGTGCAGGGGAGCAGGTCAGAAGAGGGCACCGGAGAGAGCTGACCACAGCCTGCAGCAGTGTGGGTTTGCTCCTGAGTGCACAGGAAGCCGTTGGGTTCAAGTCGAAGCTGCCCGGGCGGCTGGTGCTGTTGGGTCGCTGGTGCAGGTCTGTTAGACCGTGAGCCATGGGGGGCGGTCACTCCGAGTCCCGAGGTCCTAGCACGGCAGACGTGTGGGCGTTGAGCGAAGGACCATCTGCGTTACCTCTTGACGTGTTCTGTGTGAGCGGTGGCGTCCTCGGCACTGTTTAAGCGACGGCGTCTGTTTAGCCTGATTGTTCTGGCGCCGGGCACTCGTGCACAGGGAAACGTCACCGGCTCTTCAAGTCTGCCAGGGATCGTCATTTCCTGGATGCTGTCCTCAGCATCGAAGCAGGAGCCTGGTAGAGTCTCGGTGACCAGAACGGAAGGCAAAGCCGTGACGTTTAAAAACAAAGGCTCAGGCCGGCACCGCGGCTCCCTAGGCTAATCCTCTGCCTTGTGGCACCGGCACACCGGGTTCTAGTCCCAGTCGGGGCGCTGGATTCTGTCCCGGTTGCCCCTCTTCCAGGCCAGCTCTCTGCTGTGGCCAGGGAGTGCAGTGGAGGATGGCCCAAGTGCTTGGGCCCTGCACCCCATGGGAGACCAGGAGAAGCACCTGGCTCCTGCCAGCGGATCAGCGCGGTGCACCGGCCGCGGCGGCCATTGGAGGGTGAACCAATGGCAAAAGGAAGACCTTTCTGGCAAAAGGAAGACCTTTCTCACAAAAGGAAGACCTTTCTCTTTGTCTCTCTCACTGTCCACTCTGCCTGTCAAAAAAAAACCCAAAAAACAAAGGCTCAGTAAGTAGCGGAAAACCTCGTGGTTTTTCTCAGAGAGAGAGAGAGAGAAAGGGAGGGAGGGAGGGAGGGAAAAAGAGAAAGAGAAAGAGAAAGAGAGATCTATCTTACATCCACTGGTTCATGCCCCAGATGGCCACCATAGCCAGGCCAAAGCCAGGGGCCAGGAGCTTCCTCCGGCTCTCCCAGTGGGTGCAGAGGCCAAGCACTTGGGCCATCTTCCGCTGCTTTTCCCGGCTATTAGCAGGGAGCTGCTTCAGAAGAGGAGCCGCCGGGACTCCAGCCAGTGCCCGTGGGGAATGGCCCCTATCGCTTGCATTTTACCTGCGGTTTCTTTCAACCTAGGAGCATCACCATGGGCTTTTACTGTAGGCAGTATTTTTCTATTGTAATTCTTAGTTTCCAGCTCGCAGGGGTTCTGTGAAATCCTGAGTTTCTTCCTCTGTGTGTGTGTGTGTGTGTGTCTGCAAGATAAAGTTGAATGTGAAAACCTCCCATGGGTTGTTTTACCCGACTTGGTGCCGGCCCCAGTGCACCACAGCCCGGGCCTTGCCAGGGCTCTTTTCCGAGTGCCTCTGTTCCCACTCGGGAAAGGGCAGATGGCGGTTCCAGTGTGAGCCCCCAGCGCGTGTGGCCGTTTTTAATGACGATGTCTTTGCCTACAGAGACTTCAGCAACACGGAGACGCTGTGCAGCGAGCAGAAGTACTATTGTGAGACGTGCTGCAGCAAGCAGGAGGCCCAGAAGAGGTGCGTGTGGGTTTGGCTCAGGGCTGCCGGGCTGGCGAGCCGGCCCCGCCGTGCAGGGCGTCGGGCTTGGCCTGGGCTCTCAGCTCCGCGGGCCTGAGGCCAGCCGGGTCAAAGTGCTACAGAGTGCTGGCCTTGCAGAATCAGTCATCACGTAGCTCTCTGCTCATTCCCCCACTCAGCAAGGCCTGGCTGCCGGCCTGCGGCCTGCACTGGTGGGCAGGTGGGACCCGCACGTTCTCACGAGCTGCTCCGTGATGGAATACCTGTGTAGATCAGCTGGGCCCCGTCGGCGGGGCTTCAGAGTCCGGGTGGTGCAGGGCGGCCCGTGGTGAGCCAGGAGCCTGTGTGTGCCTGGCTGCGTGTCTCTCTCTGTCTCCTCACTTAGCTGCCGGATTCGTCACGGCTGAGCTGATCTTAATCACTCCCAGGGCCCTCACCTCTGACCTCCACAATTGGATTAAGTTTCCAGCCTCTCAGGGCCATTGACCTAAGGCAGGGGTTTCAACTCCTGCCTGTGTTCAGGGACAAAGTCATATGCAGAACCCAGCACTGGGATTAAAGGTAGATGACGGAAGGGACCTGGCACGGGACGCACGGCCACTGCCCAGTATGGTCGCTGACGTCACTTAGCACAGCAGACTTACTTCGAGACGGTCAGTCAGTCGTTCAAAAGCATCACGAGGGCATGGAGATAAGGACTCCCCACCAGCCACACTTCCTGGACGGTCTGACCACTTGTTTCCCATACGAGTATTCACCAAGAAGCCAAGCACGTGGACACGTCGATCCTCCTTGGAGCCATTACTCTGAGTGAAATTTATCTTCCCGGAGGTTCGGGAGCGGGCAGGGGGCCTAGCAGGGGTCAGGCCCAGGCCTGGGTAGAAATCGTTTCTCTGCCTCCTTCCCCAGCCCTGCACCTGGGCCTGTGTACTTGGCCTTGTCGCATCAGTCGCCTCGGTCGTGGAGCAGTAGGTGGCCTTTGTTAGTGGACAGGGAGGGGAAGGTGCTTCCCCTCCCTGTCCTGACTTCCTAGGGGAGGGGTGTCAAAGCTCTCCGTGTGCACGTGTTTGGGAACTGCTGCACGGAACAGAAGAGACCCCGGCGCTTCCTGTGCTGCAGGAGCGCTCAGGGCGTCGGCATCTGCTGAGCCTCGGGGACTCAGTCGGCTGCACAAACCTCCAAGGGTTTACGGCACCAGCGAACACTTGAGCTGGGCCCGGTAGCCCCAAGAGAACCCCTGTGTCTTATAAACGAGGAAGCTGAGAGCTGGAGAAGGGGTTGACTTTCCCAGGGTGGGAGGAGTGGGACGAGCGTGGTGTCCGATGCCAAGGACCGCCTCCCGCCAGGCTTCGGTCTGTCATCCCATCCACACCCTGCCACTGGTCTCCTTCCTCACTGCCATTCACTGACTTAGTGCATTTCTTATTTGTTTATTTGAAAGGCAGAGAGAGACAGACAGACATGGAGAGGCTGCCACCTGCCAGGTCACTCCTCAAATGCCTGCTGCAGCTGGGGCTGGGCTGGGACCAAAGCCAGGAGCTGGGTGTCCCATGTGATTGGCAGGGACTCAATTATTATTATTTTATTTTATTTTTTTACTTTTGACAGGCAGAGTTAGAGAGTGAGAGAGAGAGAGACAGAGAGAAAGGTCTTCCTTCTGTTGGTTCACCCCTCAAATGGCTGCTACGGCCGGTGCGCTGCGCCGATCCGAAGTCAGGAGCCAGGTGCTTCCTCCTGGTCTCCCATGGGGTGCAGGGCCCAAGCACTTGGGCCATCCTCCACTGCACTCCCGGTCCACAGCAGAGAGCTGGCCTGGAAGAGGGGCAACCGGGACAGAATCCGGTGCCCCGACCGGGACTAGAACCTGGGGTGCCAGTGCCGCAGGCGGAGGATTAGCCTAGTGAGCCATGGCGCCGGGCAAGGGACCCAATTATTTGAGCCTTCGTCACTGCTTTCCCGGGTCTGCATTAGCAGGAAGCTGGGGACTGAATCCAGGTGCTCCGGTGTGGGATGCGTCTGACCCAGGGTCTTCCCCACCAGCCCAGACGCCTCCCTCCTGACTGCTTCCTGCCTTCCTCTCGATTACTGTAGGGATGTGCTGTCCTAGTTGGCTTCCTGTCTGGGAAGCAGAGAGCAACTGTGCATCGTACTCTTAGTGTACCCACTGTGGCCTGGCTCCTGTGGCCGGGCCCTCTCTCCCTGTCACACACACACACACACACACACACACACAAACACACTCTCACACACACTCATACACTCACACTCTCACATACACACACTCACACACACATACACACACACACTCTCACACAGTGTCTTGCTTTACTCTCGCCGGCAGTGCTGTGGTTGGCCTAGGAGCTGCGAGAAGTCCGCTCTGTGGAATGAGCCGCCTCTCTCCCTGGGAGCTTGGGGTGTTTGCGCGCCCTTGTGCCGGAGACGCGTCTTCTGTCCCCCTCACTGCCGCTGGGAGCCCCTGACTTCCCGTTTTGTGGTTTCCAGGATGCGCGTCAAAAAGCTGCCCATGATCCTGGCGCTGCACCTGAAGCGGTTCAAGTACATGGAGCAGCTGCACAGGTACACCAAGCTCTCCTACCGCGTCGTCTTCCCCCTGGAACTGCGGCTCTTCAACACGTCCAGCGACGCTGTGAACCTGGACCGCATGTATGACCTGGTGGCCGTGGTCGTCCACTGTGGCAGGTACACCCAGCTGCACCCTCAGTACCTCGTACTCGAGAGGCAGGGAGAGCTCCCATCTCAGGCCAGGGCTCCAGCCTGGGCCGCAGGGACCCAGCTCCTTGAAGCATCAGTGCAGCCTCCCAGCGTCTGCATTAGCAGGAAACTGGCTGGGGTCTGGGGCCAGGGCGGGGAGTCGAACCCAGAGACTCCGATGTGGGGGGCAGACATGTTAACAGCCACAGTGCATGCTCACTTCCCCCATACTCTTACTGGTTACCTTAGGCATACCTAGAGAACTTACCAAATGGGTAGCATTACAGCAGGGTTTGTCTATAGAAGGTTTACCATAAGGGAAGTAGTTCAGTAAGCCTCCGTTGGATGGAAATGATCCTGATGAATTTGAAGGACTATGGAGAGATGAACACTCATGGTTGGAGTCTAGTTGTTGTTTTTTTTTTTTTTTTTTTTTTTTTTAATTTGACAGAGTTATAGACAGAGAGAAAGATCTTCCTTCTGTTGGTTCACTCCCCAAATGGCCGCTACGGCCGGCACTGCACCTATCCGAAGCCAGGAGCCAGGAGCTTCCTCCTGGTCTCCCATGTGGGTGCAGGGCCCAAGCACTTGGGCCATCCTCCACTGCCCTCCTGGGCCACAGCAGAGAGCTGGACTGGAAGAGGAGCAGCTGGGACTAGAACTCGGTGTCCATATGGGATGCCGGTGCCACAGGTGGAGGATTAACCAAGTAAGCCATGGCGCCGGCCCCTGGAGTCTAGATTTTTAAGAAAGAGCTAAGTTGTTTGTATGGTGTGATCCAGAGTGTTTTAAGACGCGTGAATAAAGACTGGAGGCAGGGACCAGCGCTGTGGTGGCAGCGGGTTAACTCCCCATCTGCAACGCCGGCATCCTTACGGACACCGGTTTGAGTCCCGGCTGCTCCACTTCTGATCCAGATCCCTGCTAATGCACCTGGAAAAGTGCAAGATGGCCCAAGTGCTTGGGCCCCTGCTTCCTTGTGGGAGACCTGGAAGAGGCTCTGGGCTCCTGACTTCAGCCTGGTCCAGCCTCGGCTAATGTGGTCATTTGGGAAGAGAACCAGCAGATGGAAGACCTCTCTCTCTCTTCTTTTCCTCCTCTCTCTATAACTCAGCCTTTCAAATAATAATAATAATAATAACTGGAAGCAATAGATTAATAATATGGCATTTTGAATGATTACAATATCTTAAAAAATTAAAATTTTCAGTTCTTTCTCAAAATTCTGTAATCAAGCCGGCGCCGTGGCTCACTAGGCTAATCCTCCACCTAGCAGCACCGGCACACCGGGTTCTAGTCCCGGTTGGGGCACCGGGTTCTGTCCCGGTTGCCCCTCTTCCAGGGCAGCTCTCTGCTATGGCCAGGGAGTGCAGTGGAGGATGGCCCAGGTGCTTGGGCCCTGCACCCCATGGGAGACCAGGAAAAGCACCTGGATCCTGGCTCCTGCCATCGGATCAGCGCGGTGCGCCGGCTGCAGCGGCGGCCATTGGAGGGTGAACCAACGGCAAAGGAAGACCTTTCTCTCTCTGTCTCTCTCTCTCACTGTCCACTCTGCCTGTCAAAAAAAAAAAAAAAAGTTTATAAAAAAAAAAAAATTCTGTAATCAGTATTTAATCATGAAAAGAATAAGAGAGGCTGGCACTGTGGGTTAAAGCCTGAAGTGTCAGCATCCCATATGGGCACCGGTTCTAGTCCCGGCTGCTCCACTTCCCATCCAGCTCTCTGCTGTGGCCTGGGAAAGCAGTAGAAGATGGCCCAAGTCCTTGGGCCCCTGCACCCACGTGGGAGGCCCGTAAGAAGCTCCTGGCTCCTGGCTTCAGATCGGTGCAGCTCTGGCTGTTGCAGCCAGTTGGGGTAGTGAACCAGCGGATGGAAGATCTGTCTGTCTGTCTGTTTCTCTCTCTCTCTCTCTCTCTCTCTGCCTCTCCTCTCACTGTGTAACTCTGACTTTCAAATAAAATAAATAAATCCTAAAAAAAAAAAAAGAATAAGAGAGCAAACCTCTAGATGTGGAGAAGCAGCATGTTTTGAGCAGCATGTTTTGAGAGAGAGACAGAGAGATCATTCACGGGGTGGTTCAGTCCCCAAATGCCTGCAAGAACTGGGGCTTGGGCAGGCAGAAGCCAGGAGCCCAGAACTCTGTCCAGGGCTCCCACGTGGGCAGCAGGGGCCCAAACACCCGGGCCATCTTGTGCTGCTTTCCCAGGCGCATTAGCGGGGCACGGGATTGGACGTGAAGCAGCTGGGACCGGGACCGGTGCTCTGATATGATATGGCTGCGTCAAAAGTGGCGGCTTACCCTGCTGGCTACAAAACCTGGCCCTGAGCAAATTCAACAATTCTGAAATTAATTAAAATTAAATAAATTAAATACTGAGAATTGTATTCTGTTATTCTTTGCCCAGCTGGGAAGGGTTTATGTTCTGCCTGCCCTTGGTTGTGCTCAGGGAATGTGTAGACCAAGTTCTTCCCTCCCTCCGTGTGCCTGGATGGGGGTGTTGGGGTGGAGTGGGGGCACCATCGCCAGGAGGAGCCGGGAAGGGGAGTCTGATCCCTTGTTTCTCTACTGCTGGGCTGCAGAGCCTCAGAGCCGGTCCACATGTCCGGCACCTCCTGTGCCTCTTGGCTTGAAGCCACTGGCCTTTTCTTGGTTCTCGACTGTTAGTTATTGGTCAGTTCTCAGCCAGCTGCGTTCCCCGTTCATAGTCCTAGCTACTGTCCTGGGGGGATGCAGGAGTCTGGCTGCGAGCACTGGCTGCCGCCCCTCACTGGGCAGGGTTGGAGGAGGTCCTGGGGTGCCAGGACCTGGGTGCGTGGTGGTGGCTGTGTGGACAGGCCAGGCGGGCCGGGGGCTGGGTGGTGGCCACAGAAGCACTCAGATGCACAGGGCACTTGACGACCTGCACGTCTCCCATACCTGGGAGGACAGGTGAGGGCCAGGGGAGGCTGGGTTCTGGAATCGTTCGACTCTGTAATGGTCACGAGGGCCAGGAAGCCCTGGCGGGCAGCATGGTGTAAGTCAGTGCCAAGTCACACATCCTGCCAGCTAGGATTTCTTTCTTTCTTTCTTTCTTTTTTTTCTTCCAATATTTATTTATTTATTTGAGAGGTAGAGAGGGAAAGCGATCTTCCTTCCGCTGGTTCACTTCCTAAAAAAATAGCTCCAATGGCTGGGGCTGGGCCAGGCTGAAGCCAGGAACCAAGAGACTACATCCGGGTCTCCCACATGGGTGGCAGGGCGCCAAGCACTTGGGTCATCTCCAGTGCTTTCCCAGGTGTGTTAGCAGGGAGCTGGATTGGAATTGGAGCAGCCAGGACAGGAGCCCACCCTCTGCTGTGGGGTACAGGTGTAGGAAGCAGGGGCTTAACTCGCTGCGCCACAGCCCAGCCCCAAGCCGGGATGCTCTAAACTCCTGCTGGAGAGACAGGTGGTGTGGATAGCTCCCAGCTGCCTGGGCTCCGTGCCAGCGATGAGGAACGCACAGCGTGGGGCCCTGCCCTCGGGAAGCTTGGTCCGCACTGAACCGGTGGAGTTTGGGAGCAAAGCGAAGGAGTAGCCTGGGCCGGAGTGGATCCCTGACCTCCCCCGTGTGTGAAGGGGTCAGGTGGGGGCGGGACTTGTCCTCAGCGGCGCTGTCCTGGGTAGCAGCTCTGGGTCCAGCATTACAGCCCCTCAGCTGTGCAGGTGCACACAGCTCCATCCGTTGTCCCGTCCGCTGTTGGCGCAGCCTGTGCCTTTTACGTCAGTGCCTGCAGCTTGTTCACGGAGCCCGCTCCTGAAATCCCCCCTTCCCTGCCCGCGGGCTGCACAGCCTCTCCGGTCCTCCCCGCTCCACTGCCCCCGCTCACTTGGCCTCCTTGCTGTTCCCTGTTCTGGAAACTTCTGTCTTGAGCCATGTGGCCTATGTCCCCCCAACCCCCCGTCCCTATCTTCTGGAAAATTCCTGCCGCTCGGGTCCCACGTTGTCAGCCGGGCTGCGTGCCACCTCACGTGAGATGCTGCCGCCCCCGTCGCCCTGGCCCCGTGTGCTCCTCTTCGGGGCACTCGCCAGCACTTGAACCTGTCCCTGCCTGTACTTTGTGCCTGTCCACCCCCCGCCCAGGTGTCCTGGGCTGGCGTCCAGAGTAGCCTAGGAGCTCGGGGAGCCTGTGAGGCTCATGGTTCTGGAGGTTGGAAGTCCAGGATCCAGAGGCACGTCTGGTGGGAGCCCTCTTGGTGTGCGGTGAGAGGCAGCACATGCGTCACACACGCGTGAGAGCGAGCGCAGGGCTGGGCGCACTTCTAGCAAGCCCACTCTCGCCAGAAGGAGGCGGCAGAGCCACCTCCACACACCGCTGCCCTGGGGATTCAGTTCCCAGCCCGCGCACCTGTGGGGCATGTTCGCACCGTGGCACCGAGGCCCGGGGCGTGGGGGTCATCTGTTTACCACTTCTTTCCCTGACACCCAGAGTAGGGCCCCGCACGTAGCAGGTATGCGGTCATCGTTTGTTAATTTTTGCCGAATCGGACGCTGTTTTCCCACTGGACTATGCCAGCTGGGCCCCGAGCCTGGGTGCCCTTCCCCGCGCTGAGGGCCTGGACAGGAGCTCCACCCAGTTCTTTATCCCCACGGTGGCCCCACCCTGGAGCTGAGCGGAGCTCGGTAGGAGATCCGCACTCCGGTGGTGACCTCCCGTTCCTTCTTTTCCAGCGGTCCTAATCGTGGCCATTACATCACCATCGTGAAAAGTCACGGCTTCTGGCTCCTGTTTGACGACGACATCGTGGAGGTCGGTGTGCGTGGGGGGCGGGTCTGCGTGGACGCCTTCCAACACGGTCCCGTTGGCCCCTAGCCTGAGCGCTCCCCTCAAAACCAAATCGTGTCCATCTCCATTCTCCAAGGGATGGAGGAGGTTCAGGAACAGTACCTATCTTTATTTATTTTAACAGGTAGAGTTAGACAGAGAGAGAGACAGAGAGCAAGGTCTTCCTTTTTCCATTGGTTCACCCCCCAAGTGGTTGTTACGGCTGGTGCACTGTGCTGATCTGAAGCCAGGAGCCAGGTGCTTCTCCTGGTCTCCCATGCCGGTGCAGGGCCCAAGGACCTGGGCCATCTGCCACTGCACTCCTGGGCCACAGCAGAGAGCTGGACTGGAAGAGGAGCAACCAGGACAGAATCCGGCACCCCAACTGGGACTAGAATCCGGGGTGCCGGCGCCGCAGGCGGAGGATTAGCCTAGTGAGCTGCGGTGCTGGCCCAGTGCATATCCTTAAAAAACTGTGCATGGTTTCCAAACAGCTCTTTGCACCAATATAAACTTACCCTTTAATTCCATTTCCCATGAACTCTTTGAAGTTCCCTTGCTTGGAAGTCCTGTTCTCTCTGGTGCAGGAAGACTTCACAGTCCTGTTAAAATTCCTTTACTACAACGGAATTCGGAATTTTCTCGTATCGGTTATTGTTTAAAATATGTTTTTTTCCAATGGTTGGACTTGGAGATGTCTGTATTATACCAAAGCATTCCGTGTATTGCTTTTGTTGTCAAGGAATGCGAGCTGGAGTGAATTCTGTACGCAGAGATGGGATCTGCTTTAACCTGTGAGGGCAGCAGTTTTGGCAGAATGAAGTTAAAGGAAACAGGATGAGGCACTCTGCTGACCTGAAATCCCAAGGCCTCCGATTCTGCAGGGTGCCTGCCTGCACTTGGCCGTGGGCAGGTGCAAGTGTGGCTGCCCCCAGCGCCCCAGCACCTCCGCCACGTCTGTGGGATGATCCACTCGCCCTTGACGTGTCTGATGTTAGCACAGTGCTTCCTCCTGTTGCTGTGGGGCTCGTGTTAAGTGCGTGTCTGATTTTGTTTCTCCTTCATTGCAGAAAATAGACGCCCAAGCTATTGAAGAATTCTATGGCCTGACGTCAGATATATCAAAGAATTCAGAGTCCGGATATATTTTATTCTATCAGTCACGAGAATAACTGTAGGGGCCGTGGGAGCAAGGCAGCGGGGCAGCCTGCCGGCCCTGGGACCTGGACCCCGTCTGACCGTCCTCCTCCGCCGCCGCGGCCGCCCAGGGCCTGGCCACATTGGCCTCTGCCCCTTTGTTCTCCACGCAGCACCACCCTTGGTTTAGTTTTAGTGTGAAGCCGAGTTCACGGCGACCAGAGTGCCGTCACTTTTCTTTGGATAGCAGTTGCTGATTTTCACGCGGGGTGAGTGTCGCGCCACGTGTTCCGTCTGGTGGAGTCGGGGCGCCCTTCCTGCGAGTGTTGCAGTCTGTTTCGGGGGATTTGCTAGAGTTCCTTGCTGGCCCCCGGGACCCCCTTCCAGTGCATTCCAGAAACGTGTCCCTGGAAACAGTGCTGCCCGCGCTCCTGACAGCAGGGCCCCAGACTTGGGTGGAGGTGTGCGTTGTAAGACTGTTGCGCTCTGTTTGTGCGAGGGAAGGCTTAGCTAAGCAGCGGGTGACCCACGGGGCACGGGGAAGAGCAAGGCCTCTTGGGGTAGCGGGGCACTGTCCACACGGGAATTCCAAGGCCGGGGAGCGGGGAGCCCAGGGCAGGCAAAGCCAGGAGGGCGTTTTTGCGCATAGTTGCTTTCCTCTCCTTTCTACCAAAAGCGAGTTGGAGGATGGTGGCCCCACTTTTCCTCCGTGAGGCCCCGTGAGCTGGAGCTCCACAGTGTCCTGCCCCCGGCGAGCTCCGTGGGACGTCTTTGCCGTCCTGCTGATGGCGCAGGGCGGAGGCAGCACGTGGTGCAGCCCAGCCCTGCCGGGCACAGCCCTCGCCGCGCACTGCAGCTTCTCTGGGTGATGGGGGAGTGCCGGGGCCGACGGGCACCCTGGCTGCAGGCCATCCTGGAGCTGGCGACGCGGGAAGGTGGCCGAGGAGGGGTCCCCAGGCTGGTGGATGAAGGCACCCAGGGGCGGTTTCTTTGGCCCGGACTCCCTGAAGGCGTGAGAAGACCCTCATCTCAGCGCAGTTCCTTTTCCTTTTTTCACTTTTGTTATGTATGTATTTATTCGAACATCTGAGGACTGGTACCTTTAATTCAGAGGGTCCGTTTGGCGTGGAGCTGGTTTTTGGTTTGCCACGCACCCCACGAGCTGTGGCTTCCTTGAGGAGGTCGGCTGGCCTCCACGTGCGGGGCCGTACTGTGAACGCACTGTTACCTGTCACGCGCGCGAACGGACGTGCAGACTTTGGGCAGACTTTGGGCGGAATGTGAACTCGAGAGCGAGATGTCCGTGGCCGTTTTGCAACCCCGAAGAGGATGATAGCACTTTACCCAGATGAAAACTGGATTTCTTATTTTTGAAATATCTTGAACTGTTGATTTCTCAGAACTTAAATACGCATGCCGACACTTCATTGGTTCCTACTTGAACTGAAGCGTTTCGCTTTTCACTGGAGAAGACAAAACAGGGTGCGCTTCACGTTCCTGTCTCATGCAAGTGGCAGAAATGTACGGTCTGGTTCCGAGGCAGGCTCATGTTCATGGGTGTTTTTGTCTCGTTTTTCCTCCACGAAGCATGTGCGGTAATCGCTTACCTGGGAGGTGAATCTTTCACGTCTAGAGAGGCACTTCCTGCAGGGGACGGCGATGTCTGTGCTGTCACCAACCCAGATGTCACAAAGCTTAGGAAAGCGACGGCTGAGCTCTAATAGATTTGGAACTGATTCATAACAAAAACTATTAAACTTATCTTTGCAACAACTCTCGCAGATAATTTATTAGGTGACTGTGTTTCGGTTGGAAGCCTGTGAGAGTGGTATTTAAATGCTAAGTCACAGGTTCAGTACAGCTTTTTTTTGGGGTTGGGGCACATGAGAAGAATTTTTGCGATGACTTAAGTGATTCTTTGAGTAGAAAGAGTCGGTTAAAATTCCGTGTCCGTGGGTAGATCCTGGGAAGAAGAGTAAAGCGGTTGTGTGAGGTTGGACAAGGCCAGAACACATTTCTCCACTCTCAGCTTTTTAAAACCCGAGCTGTGTGGCAGCTCCACGCCCTTCTTCCTCAGCAAACACTGGGCAGCTACCTTCCCCTCCCAGGCATCGCTCTCCACGGAGGGGACAGCACACAAACACGGGGCTGGTTTGCATTCCTTACTGCTAGCGCAGAGCGGGGGACGGCGGGCAGATGGCCGCTCCAGGCCACCAGAAAGCACAAGGCTCAGCTGCAGGCCTGCAGGAGTGCAGAGCTGTGGCTGCGGGGTGTTCTCCAAGAGAAGACATTGCTGCTTCATTGGTTGCTTACTGCATTAGCCCCTAGGTTGTGGTACAGTATGCTGGAGTGTCATTCCCCCAAGAGCGAATCCCAGCCCAGCGCCCGCGGCCGGGCTGCCCACTCCGTGAGTTTTCCACTCCCGGGCTGCAAGAAGTGGACGGGTTTGGAGGGAGTGAAGGACCGACCTGCAGGCTGTCCACTCGGGTGGGAAGCCAGGCCTGCTGTATGGTGGATTTAAGGGAAATGGGGAGAAGGGAAGAGACGGCAGCGGCCCCCTGCATTTCTTCCGTGGCCAGGCCTGACAGTGGACGGTGTGTCGTCGGAGCGGAGGGCTTCTTTGAGCAGAGCTTTATCGCAGGCGGACGTTGTCTGTAAGCGCTGCATTTGGTCAGCCTTGTCTCTTCATGTGTGTTACGGTGTTGTGCACTAAATGTTTTGCCCTCGTTTGCTATTCAGTGGTCAAGGCGTTTATCAGCACTGTGGGGAGGGACTCATGCAAACGGCGTGGGTCGGGAAGTTCTCGCCTGCTTTTCTGCCTGATTAAATTTCTCTCTCCTAGCATCACATTAATTTATTTTTGGCTTCCATTTCTGTATAAAAAATAGTTACTGTATTTGTGCAGCATTTATTTGGTTTTGTTACTAAAAATATGTAGTTTTTATTTAAGATAATCTGTACCTTTTTTTAATGTAACCAATTCAAGCACTTTAAGCAATAATGTCAATCTTGTGAAATTTCAATCAGTTGAACACCCTGCCTCTAAAATTGTTTGCAAAAAAAAATAAAAAAAATTAAAAAATAAAGTAGGAATTCCCTTCCTGGAGAATCATGCCTGGGTCCTGCCGTGCAGGTGGACTTGAACTCCTGTTGATCAGGTAGGGGCCGGTGCCCAGGTCGGCATCATCCCAAACTTGATTCAAAGCGCTAGAAACACGAAGAACGTTCGGGCACTGGACATACACACGCGTGCTGACTGCCAGTGTTGATAAAGTCAGTGTTGCAGATAACTCGTCATCTTTTAAGTGGCAACGATGAATAGAATTAACCCAGAAACTGGCCTCTGGGGAATAACACGACTGAGAGTGTGGGGGCGGGGGCCGGGGGATGTGGGGGTGGTGAGTAGACATTGTGATGGATCCCGTCCCTGAGCCTGCATGTGAGTATTCTTACCAGTTAAGGGACGGAAGATCCATTTCCCAGGTAACAAAGGGGCGTCCAGCCTGGGCCTCTGGTTTCTGGTCGGAGGACGTGGCCCCTGCTGGACGCTTGAGGCTGTGTCTGGGGTGTGGGGACCCCTAACTCAGAATCCCTGGTCGGGTGCCCAGCACCCCTCCCCAAGGGGCAGAGCGCAGGGCTGTGGTCTCAGAGCGAACCCCGCAGCTCTCACCGTGAGCGCTGCTCTCCCTGGCCGGCCTGTGGACAGAAGATGTCAGCTGAGTCTGAGCCTGTGCCCCGCTGTGGCACTGAAAGCCCACAGACCAGGAGCAGTGAGTCTCCCAGCCCCTGGCCCTGTCTTGCACGGTGCAGCTGAACCTGACCGAGCTGTTGGAAAGTCCTCCCTGACTGACACGGGGGCCACAGACTGAGATGTGTTTTGCTCTTTTGGGCCTCATTTTTCTCCATCTGTTAAATGGGTTTACAGGACAGGCCTGTCGCTGCCAAGTCGCTACCCATGTGACACGATTTCTGGGGAAGGAGATCCGTTCTTTGTCCCTGTACCCTTCCTCCCTTCATCGATGCTTACGGTGCCTCGAGCAGGGAATGAAGCCCTGTCCCCGTTGTCTTGGCAGGGAATGAAGCCCTGTCCCTGTTGTCTGCTATTGCATTGCCCTGAGATACAGGGGCTTGCTAAGGCAGTTTCTATATTTTTGATCTGGGCGTGGTGCTAAAAACAAACCACTCTGCTTTTCCCGGCGGTGCTTCAGGTGGAGGGGTCTGTCCTGCCGTGCCCTGGGCGTTGACACGAGGGGGAGCGGTGAGAGGAGGAGGAAGAGGCTCGGTGTGCATAAGTGAATTGGCTGTTGAGCCTTGGATCCTGTCCTCAACTCCCTCATTATCTATGTGCACGTTCCGCATTCCCCCAAAGGCAAACGCATTCGGGCCTCAAGCAGGCAGGTGCAGGCCCCGGACCTGTGCTCTAGGGTGAGCCCGGCCTCCTTTGCCCCTTGGAGCCCCAGTTTCTTGCCTGCCTGTTTGTGGGGTGGCCTCCTGCCTTTCACCTCCTTCTGGGGATGACTCAGTTTCGATAACGAAGTGTAAATGTGTTGGTGGCAGCAGCGGACTTCAAGGTCTGACCTCCATTAACGGAGTACAGGGGTGGGCATGGGGTGCAGAGGTTGAAGCCGCCAGTGGGGACTCCTGCATCCCAGGTCAAAGTGCCAGTTCCAGGGAGTCCCGGCCGCTCCGCCTCTGACCCAGCTCCCTGCTAGTGTGCCTGGGAAGCAGTGGGTGATGGCCCACGTGCTTGAGTTTCTGCCACTCATGTGGGAAGCCTGCCGGAGTTCCAGACCCCTGGCTTCAGCCTAGCCCAGCACCGTGTATTGCAGTGCTCGCTCGCTCGCTCGCTCGCTCTCTCCCTTTCAAATAAGTAAATAAGCTTTTTTTGTGGGTGAGTATATTCAAAGTCCTAACAGTGGATTTTGGGCCATCTTCGCTGCTTTTCTAGGCTCATTAGCAGGGAGCTGGATCGAAGCGGAGCAGCCGGGACTTGACCTGGCGCTCAGATGGGCCCCCGGCATTGCTGGCAGCAGCTTCACCCACGGCGTCACAGCGCTGGCCCCCTCACGGCAGATTGTGCCAGACGGCGCAGTTGTTATTTCCGACGGCGTGCTTGCGTTTTTACCCCTGGACTGGAGCCTGTGTGGATGTAGCGGAGTAAGTCAGGGAATGAGTGTGAACTCTACGACTCGCGGCCTTACTGGCCAAGCTGTGTTCCCTGTCTTTAAGTTCCTGTGCTGTAGAGCACTTTGAACAAAAAGGATTTCCAGTGTTCTGCTCCTTCCCCACACGAGCACAGAAAAGTATTTGTTAGACGCCTTGGGGGTCTCACTGTCCTCCTGGATCAGGCATCCAGGTGGTGTGGAGTCCACAGGCTGCCCACGGGAAGGCGGGCGCCGCAGCTGAGGGCTGGAGTCCTGTGTCCTTACCCCCACGCAGCAGTAGGCCGGGGCGCGGAACAGAAAGCTGAGTCCTCCTCCCTTGGGAAGCAGCAAGGTAACGAGCTGCTGTGCCCCCGTGTCCTGCGTGGGACCTCACGGCCCGAGGTTCATGCACCTGCCGGGGAGAACGTGCCATGCCAAGACGGCTGAAGATTCACGCGAGCGAATGAAGAGTGAGCCGTGGAAGCCTCCTCAGCACGCAGAGCCCGGCTGGAGACGGGCTTCTGTGCCCAGGAGGTGACCAGCACGCCGCGTGAAGGAGACGCCACTGCCTCCCTCTCTTGGGGACCACAGTGTGCGAGAACTCCATGGAAAGAGACAATTCTGTCGGCTACCCCAAGTCCCAGAGGCTCCCACCCTCCCCAGAGCACAGACCGCAGCTTTGTGGGCGGTGTGTGCCACGTGGACTTGGGCGGCTCCTGCAGAGGTGGGGGCGGGGAGGAGAAGAGAGAGGAAGTTGCTTTCGGGGCCTTTCGCCGGGGGACTTGGTCTTATGTCCTTGGAGGACTTCGTAGAGGTTTGCAAAGCCGGAGCTGGCCACGGAAGCTGCCCTGGGTGAGAGCTGTGTAGGAGAAGGGGCAGGTGAGCCCCAGAGGGAAAGGGGAATGAGGTTCAGACTCCTGTTGCCGCTTGGCCTCAGCCTTGGGCCTCGCAGCCCCTGCCCCGTCTGGGCGTTTGCCCTGCAGGGTTAGATGGGGCCCAGAGGAACCCAGGAGCGCCCCCAGCTGATGTGCAGTTCACAGGTTCTGTGCCCTTCCTATTGGGGCCTGATGAGTTTTTGGCACAATTCAGCAACTGTGGCGTAGTGGGTAAGGCCACCACCTGCAGTGCCGGCATCCCATATGGGCACTGGTTTGAGTCCCGGTTGCTTCACTTCTGATCCAGCTCTCTGCTGTGGCCTGGGAAAGCAGTGGAAGATGGCCCAAGTGCTTGGGCCCCTGCACCCATGTGGGAGACCCGGAAGAAGCTCCTGGCTCCTGGCTTCGGATCGGTGCAGCTCTGGCTGTTGCAGCCAATTGGGGAGTGAACCAGCAGATGGAAGACCGCTTGCTCTCTCTCTCTCTCTCTGCCTCTGCTTTTCTCTCTGTAACTCTGACTTTCAAATAAATACATTTTTTTTTAGAAACTGTCCACGTTCGGGGGAGAGCCGCAGTATCGTCTTTCCGGGTCTGGCTTATTTCACTTAACGTCATGACTCCGTTGCACCCACTTTTCTGCAGATGTCAAGACTTCATTCTGTGCTACGGCCCCGCTTCTATCCATCCCACATGAGACTGACTAAGGTGCCCAAAGAATCCTGCCCATTCCCGGTGGTCCAATCCAGAGGACCAC